TTTTATGTTGCAGCAGAGTTAGTTTAGCCTTGAATTTGAAAGTGAAGGTAAAAATAATTCACATGAATTCAATTACTAGAAACAAACTGAGTGTTTAATGTTCATTAAGTACCTAAAATATTGATTTTTCCCCCCCCAGCAATATGATTAGGCTATTGTTTTTATAGCTTAATAATGGTTAAATATTTTTTCACTGCTTGCCTAGAAAGGTGTCTGTCCTTTCTTTCTTTTCCTGACAAGCATGTTTCCTATTCTAATTTGCTTGGAGCTGCAATATCCTTTTTTTTTTTGTGAGGTGCATTACTAAGAGCTTACCGAGATTCTGCCCAGAACGGTTCTGACTTGCAGACTACATCAGTACAGGAAATTATTTTGGAATAGTGATGTTTTGAATTCACACTCAAACTTGTTTTGTCACTCACTTCCCTTCTAGGCCCATGTTGATTTAACACTATTACATTGTTAAGGAAACTGCGGGTAATGTTACCTTCTGTTTGTTTCCTTGTATTCTATATTTAGTTTCACTATAATGGTAGCCAGTAGCAACCACTTTAAGTTGACTAACATAGGTTGTTGGGGTTTTTTAAATGGCTTTCTATGACAGTTTTACTTTCTAGTGTGAAGAAGGCCTTGAGAGAACTGTGTGTCTAGAAGAGGAAATTGTGTCTTGAGACTTTCATTTACACATTGCTGCAGTATAATGTTTGACAAGAGGGAACTTTCCAAGCTTACAAATAACAGAAATAAAATGTAGGCACTAGGGTACAGTTGTAACTAGAAGGAAGATCCCACCATTGCACAGGACAGATCACTGGTGAGTGAATGTCTGTACTTGTGTGAAAGATGTCAGGGAATGAAAGAAAGGAGAGGAGGACCCAAGTATTTCAGCACCTTATATGTCATCTCATTTATTTTTAATTTGTCACACGGGACAAATATTTTTACCATTTATCAGGGAATGGTCAGAGATGGACCTTAAGCTAAATTCAGTACCAGGAATGGCTGGCTTCTCTTCCTGCTTACTGTAAGATGCCATCTATCATCTGATGTAATTAGTGCAGTTGATTGAGAAATAGAGATCTCTTTCTACAATGTGTAAGACTTGTATTCCAATTCAGGTAGATAGAGGGTACAGCGAGGGTTGATTACTTCTGCATATAATTTGTGTTCTGTAAAGGGCTTAGCTTTTGTGTTTTTAACTGCATTTGCAAAACAGTTTAGGTTAAAATAGCATACATTCAGCAATTATGTCAGAGAAGGAAACTGCAAATCTGTGGGCAACTATTCATCATAAATCTTCCTCCCAAATGTGTTTTATGAACAAACTACTAAAGTAGGATATTGTTGGAGTTCCTTTTTGTTTAAAACAGAGTTGGTTTAGGTCTGCCTTTTATGGGCTGAGGAGTATCTGAACCCTGAGAAACTGCGAAGTCTGGGAACACTCTCTTAGTATCAGGAATGTGAAGTGGTGGTTTGGGGTTTGTTTTGTTTTTAGAGGGTGCCCAAAATAACCACTGGAAAGTAGGTTGCATAATAATTGCATTGCATTCAAAAATAATAATTTTGTTTGTGTATAGAGAGCAAGTTAACATATTTTCTTTTTCATTTCTTGTTGAGTTTTGTAATGCTTTAAAGCAATATAGAATCACAGAATGGTTTGGGTTGGAAGAGACCTTAAAGATCATCTAGTGTCAATCTGCTTGCCAGGAGGACCAGGTACTTCCTCTAGATCAGGTTGCTCAAAGCCCCATCCAACCTGGTCCTGAATACCTCCAGGGATGGAACGTCCACAACCTCCCTTGGCCAACCTGTTCTAGTGCCTTACTACTCTCACAGTAAAGAATCCCTTCCTAATAGCTGACCTAAATTTTCCCTCTTTCAATTTTTACCCATTACTCCTTGTCCTGTCACTACAGTTCCTGATGAAGAGCCCCTCTCTGGCTTCCCTGTAGGCCCCCTTCAGATACTGGAAGGTTGCTGCGAGGTTTCCACACAACCTTCTCTTCTCCAGGGTGAACAGCCCCAACTTTCTCAGCCTGTCTCTGTAGGGGAGGTGCTCCAGTCTTCTTATCAACTTCGTGGCCTTCCTCTGGACTCGCTCCCACAGTTCCGTGTCCTTATGTCCACCTTGCTTTGCCTCCCTGAAGGAAGCAGATAACAGAAAGATTTGAGGAAGTTCTGTTTCACATGTTTTTTAACTTTCCCAAATTGCCAGGGAGCAAATAGATAAAACAGTGAAGCAGAAGTGGATCAAAGTATCTGAAGTAATGTGTACTTGGCAGTTTGTTTTGCTATACTATTCTGTTCCTCCCTTGGGATTCTGTAAGATTGCAGTGGGTGGTTTAAGTAGTATGTAATCCAACTGATCACATACTAATTTAAAAGATAAAACTGCAAATGTCCACCAGCAAATTATTCCTTTGACAAGTAAAAGGAAACAGTATTTCTTTTAGACTCTGTAAAGGTTCAGCTTGAGTTGATGATGGTAGCATTTTCTCCTGAAAGAAAAAAGAAGTTTAGGTTTATTAGATGGAGCACTCAACATACCTGTTGTCTTACAATGGAAACTGGCACCTAAACTTACTGGCTTTGTCTTGTGTACTCAAACTAAGTGTTTCACATTACAATATCTTTTTTCATTTCCTGATTTTGAAAGTTGCCAGGATGTTCTGTGCCTTATTCCAAATCACGTGCTGGATTTTTTATTTATGCACACACTCTCACACATACATGCTCAGCGTTTCTTGTGTGCTGCTTGTTTACAGCTTTGGCTGTAATCTTTTAAAGAAGGAATCTTTTGAAGAATTGTCAGTCTGGGAGAAGAGTGTGTCAGAACATGCTGACATGGATGGAGAGTTGCTCTGTATTTATACACAATACTGAAATGACCAAAGGCAAAATTTCAGCATTAATTCATGCACATAAATTTTGCAGAATACTTGAAAAACTTAAAAATCAGTGCTACAGAAACATAGCTTTAGAATACTGCCTCTACTAACCCATCACTGTGAATAATCAGTGCACATTTTGGTGCATACAGATGAAGCAAAAGTCTATAGCAAGGAAGACATATCCTTGAAAGCAAATCATAGAATATCCTGGGGTGGAAGGGACCCATCAGGATGATTAAAGTCCAGCTCGTGGTCCTGCACAGGACAACCCCAAGATGCCACCATGTGCCTGAGAGTATTATCCAAATACTTCCTGAACTCTGTCAGGCTTGGTACCGTGATCACTTCCCTGGGGAGCCTGTTCCAGTGCCCAACCACCCTCTGGGTGAAGAACCTTTTCCCAATATCCAACCTAAACCTCCCCTGAGACAACTTCAGGCCGTTCCCTTGGGTCCTGTCGCTAGCCAGGTCAGGGAATACTTTAACAAACTGTGTGTACACAAGTGGGCCCTGGCAGGATGCACATGAGTGCTGAGGGACCTGGCAACTGCCACGGCCACTCTTGATTATTTTCTAATTATCTTCATGACTGGAAGAGGTGACTGAGGACTGAAGGAAAGCAAATCTCAACTCCTATCCTCAAAAAGGGCAAGAAGGAGGATCCAGGGAACTATGGTTTGGTCAGCCACACTTTATTACCCAGGAAGATCATGGAAAAACTTATCCTAGAAACCATTTCCATGTCCGTGAAGGACAAAAAGGTAGCTGGGGTCATTCAACATGGATTCACAATGGTGAAATCATGTTCAATGAACCTGAAGGGAGGGACTGTGGTGATGGGCAAAACCAGAAACATGAGAGGTTCAGTCTGAACATCGGGAAACACTTTTTCACTGTGGGGATGACTGAGGCCCAGCACAGGCTGTCCGGGGAGGTTGTCACCACCCTCGGAGGTATTCAGAAGCTGCCTGGATCTGGTCCTGACCACTGGCTCTCAGTGGCCCTGCTTGAGCAGGGGTGTTTAGATAAGGTGATCTCTAGAGGTCCCTTTCGATGCCAGCCAGTCTGCAATTCTGTGAAATAGGTATAAGAGTTCCTCATCATACAGAGGAAAAGTGTTCTCAGCTTTATTTTATTTAACCCATAGAAGAAATAGAGAATGCACAGGAAGTTGAAATTGTAGTTGTGGTATATTGCTTTCTGTATGTTCACTTAGTCCATTGCATTATGTGTGTTAATGCCTAGATAGATCTACAGATGACATGAACAAGAATGCTTACTTTACTTATTTTGGAACACTTGCTGCTAAGTTCTGAAGTTCTTTTCTTGTGTGGCAAGGAGTGTCACTTTTCAGGGGATTTTCAAATGTAGTGCAGAAAACACTGAATTAAGTGCAGAGCACAAAAAGACTGGAGGATTCACTGCAGCTTAGAGCTTTCTGGTGACCAGTTTCTCATGGAAGGGGAAATGCCGAAGACTGGGGACTGGGCAGCTTCTACAGGATAGGATCTCCTTAAGAAGAAAGGCAGTTAGATTCTTTTCCACAACAGAATTTTCTCAGTGGAAGGTGGAGAATTTATTGCTGCTGAAGTGGGGGTGGAGGGTGTGCTGCTTTACGTGGCAATGTCTTGAGTCTTGCACTGTCTTACAAAGATTGTCACTGCAGCACAGTGGCCCTCATTCAGGTGTTAAACAGGAGGGCTTTCTAAAGAGATCTGATCTGTTTGATGCATTCTAGGTGTGCTTTAAGCGGTTTAAATTCTTAAGAACATTGGTTTCCTTTAATGGGTTGTAAATCTTCAACAGAGATATGAACTAAATAATATGGGCCCAAGCAAAAAAGCATGGGAATCGCTGACTTGTTTTGTCTGCTCTCCTATTGTTTGGAGACTGATACATCCTTGAAAGTTTAAGCCATGTTGTTACTGAACTAATGCTGCTTGTGTGCCCTGTTTATGCAAATAGATTGCTCGGTGGTTTTTGCCTACATTTGGGAGCATCTAGTTCGTTGAGTTCAGTGGCACTGGTATTTTTCAACATATTGTGAATTTATAAGCATAGGAAGATGCACCATTAATCTAAATTTATTCCTCTGTTTTCCTCTGCCAGGAAGAAGGAAGTATCAAAGAAATTGCAATAACTCACCATGTAAAAGAAGGACATGAGAAAGCAGACCCTTCACAGTTTGAACTTCTGAAAGTACTTGGACAAGGATCCTTTGGAAAGGTTGGTAGCTGAACTCTTGTGGAGCCAGTTACTCAGGAATATGGAATTGAATATTGGAAGTGAAATATTTAGAACAGCCACAGTCTTGCGTTAAGGCACTGTTGCAAGTGAAAACTGCTTTTTAAATTAGTGCTAATGAGGCACTGTAATTGTGGCAGATCTTTTTAAAGCAGTGGGTTTTTTTCTGGTTTGCATGATATGTAGATTTCAAAGTTCAATAGAAAAATTGGCTTGATATGAAATAATTGGGTATTCGCTGTTAAAATGGAATGTCATTTTTTATAACTACTCTGCTGTGTTTGAAGGGGCAAAGGTTGAAAGGTTTTTTGGTAAGTATTCCTAGTTGCTAACTTGCTAATGGTAAGTTATCATTAGTACAGAAGCTATAGGCAGAATTTAATTTTGTGGCAGATTGTAATCGTAATGAGCAAATTTTAGGCAGTAATGGCTGCTGAAGTAAACATGATACACCCTAGTCTTGTTCATGCTGGTATTATCTGTCCTAATTTGGTTAAGGGACAATATGCCTTGATATTTATCTGAACATCTGTTAAAGATTCGATGTTTCTAGCATTTGGTAAGTACTGTTCACACTGAGATCTCACTGGGCACACAAGATTTATACTTTTAGTTGTCCAATCCCAGCTTGAAAGCAAAACATTACCTTCATATGGACTGAATGGAATATGTAATGAAGAACAGCAGAGCCTTTACATCCACTTTCAGCCTTAATTGCAGTTCTGAATGTCACGTTAAGCTCTAGCATATAAAGCCAAATCCATCTTGGATGTGGGAGAAAATTAGAATAAAATATCCAATTCTCTTTTGGTAGTAGGAAGTTACTGTTAGTCACATTATTGTTCCAATTAGGTTTGGAAATCTAGATGCTTAGAAACTATAAAATTTTGGACTCAAAAGAGCAAGAATTGACTGAGCAACCTGATTCCAAAGGTTTGATTTAATCCAGAATCATAACCAAGTTTTCATTTGGAAATCTTCAGATTGGGAGAAGTAAATCATTCATGGCCAAGGAAATGTAAGCTATTAAATGACCATTTGAGCAATCACTTATTTTATTGATGTTACTAAATTCAGTACTCTAACGAGAGTGGGGAGAGGAATGTGAATTTTGAAAAAGCAAAAAGAATGAACTGTCTAGATGACTCAGTTTTGCAAAAATGCCAGTCTTGTCCTCAGTTGTTTTAGCCTTTATGCAAAAATTACTAATATTAAATTAATATTAATATTAAAAATCCATAATTAATTTGTTCTCATAATTTGTGAAGGTGTCACTGTGTTCCATTTAGTTTAAAAGGAGTAAGTGTGTGATTTTCAAGGTCTCTTGGTGATGATCTGGTAATCTCTGGATAGTGCAAATGGTTAATGTGAGAATTGGGTAGAAAAACAGACATAAAACTGATTTCATATAACATGTTTAACTTTCTCATGTACCATAACATGTCTGTAATTTTTTCATAAATAACCACATAACCTCTGGCAGGTATATTTTTGCCTTTTTCATTTCTAAATCTAAAATTTGGCTCTACTGGAATAAATTTTGTTTTAAGGTTATTAAAGACAATCCCATTACACTGAAGAAGGAAATGAAACACACTTTAATTGTGGCTGGTTGTCCTTTATTGGTAACATGCAACACTCATCCAAAGCATGTAAGAAAAAAATGTTTTTGTGACACAAGAGGTCAGTCTTATAATTTTATAGGGTTTTTTTTGAAAGCTATTTATTATAAATTGATTCATGTAGGTTTCTGGATAAAATTTTAGTTACACATTTATCATCATATCTGGCAATTATTTTACTAGCACATTTGATGTGCCATCTTATGAATTTCAGTAAGATAAAACTAGAGATCAGTTTTTAAAAAGCTGAATGTTTTTTTTTCAGATTTGTGTGAGCTTCTGAGAGAATCCAAATTCATCCCTTTTTTTTTTTTTAATCACTGATATCAATTAAGTTAAGCCAAAATTAATTTGGGAAACTATCTTGAATGAAACTTTTAGATTACAAAATAAAAGAATAGTAGGAAAAAATTAAAGGAATTTTTTTGTTCGGATTTGCAGAATATAAAATTGTCAAATTGAGTTTCATTGAAATCAGACTGACTACTTGAATTTCGTAGCAAAATACATTAACCTGACTTGCTTCTATTTTCTTTTAAGAATTCTTTCTAATTTTCAATGCAGGTCTTCCTTGTCAAAAAAATCTCAGGATCAGATGCTAGACAGCTTTATGCAATGAAGGTATTGAAAAAGGCCACCTTGAAAGGTAAGCATTGTTTATAGAGAGGGAAGGAAAAATAAAGAAGATAAATAAGGGGACATTCTACCAAAACCTAATCTTAACACAGATGCTGTTCTACAGATTATCTTGCAGCTTTCTTCTATCAGGCAGCAAATAGCAGAATACAGTGCTTTGTGTTGTAAACCTGGAGGGATTCAGTAACAGCACTGTGTTGTTAGTTACAGAGGAAAGGAGGTTCCTCTCCCCACTGCCTTCCTCAGGTGATGGTGGTTTAAGAGAGTAGTTGTGTTACATCTGCCACCTGACCTGCTCCTGAGCTCTCACTTGAAACTTAATATCCTTCTGTTTTCCATTTGCTGTGTATCACCAAGGATACAGTTAATGCCTTTTGCTTAGTTTATAATTAGGTCATGATATTTAAAAGTGCATTGTATCAGCTGTTTAGTTCTAAGCACCGGAGTTAAAGTCTTTTTTTTTTTTTTTTTAAACGGATGAACACAGTACATTTGCCCAAGATTTTTGGCACTTGTTCTGGGTGTAGAATATATTTTATAAAATCTTAAATGAATCCTCTAAGTTACTTGACTAAAAATGTGTTGTAAATTGATCTGTTTCTTGGGTAGTTTTGGTCTTGAATAGTATCAGTAGCAAAATAAGTTTAAGCCTGAACAATCTCAATTCTGTCTTGGACAATTCTATAAGAAGAAAGAAATAATGTGTTTTTTTTGTTACTGTAGATTAAAGTGAAAGTCATCTTTCACACTAATACTTTAACCAGAATGTTTACTGGTTCTTTTATGCCATTATTTAGTAATTCTCTCTATTTGAAGTTCTGATTCATGACTGCACTGAAATAGCAATGATAATTCTGGGATGGTTCCAGCAATTTGTAGTGCTTTGCCTATCTTATTGATTATTATATTGAATTTCAATTTAAACATACAGTTTAAATAGAACAATGTAGGGAACAAAAACTCTCACTGAATTTTGAACATCTGCTAAAATGTTTAAATGATTTTTTTTTACTTAAAATCTTGTGCTGAATCATGTGATCTCACAGATCTCATTATATATCACACTTAAAACTATTACAGAGGGTATGTTTTTGAACAGTTTCCTATCTTTTGATTCCTTTGTGGTTTGTGGCACGTGTCATTCTCATTATTTACTTCCTATTTTTCTGAGATTGATTTCCACTCATTTAAGGTACATTAATATCCTCAATAGCCTTTCATTCTCCAGCCTGTTAATCACTCAGGACTGGTCAAAGGTCATTCAGCAGTTGCTTTTTTAAGATGTTTGAGGGCTTCTTTTCATCACCTTTTGATTGCAGTTTAACCTTATGTGTGAAAATTACAGTCCAAGCTGTAGGTCTGGTTTTGCCTACAGATGGCAGAGACTGATAAATACTGAAATTGGCAGCTTGACTTTTAATTGAAAAAGGAGATTCTTTGAGGATCTAAGAATTCAAGGATGCCACAGTTCTCAACACTTTGTTTTCTGAATTTTCAGATGTTTTTATGTGCTGTTTGGTTGTGATTCATGTTTTAGGAAGAGCAGAGTTGCAAGCAAATTAAGGTTACTGTTGAAATTTTAATATGAAATTAACTGGAATTAATCCTATTTTCCAGAATTGCAACATTTTTTTATATCTAATACTATGTTTTTACATAATACAGTGTATTACTTGATTTGTCTGTGGTTCCTTACCTCTTTGAAATCTATTTCATGAAGTTACTTTTGTGTTCTTAAATTAAAGGTAGTGCCCTTTAAGACCACACTTAAAAGCAGTGTGCATGATTCACAAGTCAAGTTTAGAGAGAATATTTTCATAGGGATGCAACTGTATTAGCCAGAACACACAGATGTAACTACACGGTCCAACTTTTTAATATTTGGGGCAAATCTAAGGATATACACATACAACTTTGTTTACTGCAGGGACTAGTTTATTAATACACTCTGATAGAGGTTATCACCTTTCGGTGCCCCGTCACAATAGGGGGAGAGAGAGAGAAACAGGGCCCAGTCATCACTGGACAGTCTGGCATTAAATGTATTAAGAAAAATCAGTGCTTCCAATAGCATGTTAATGGAAACTGTAGTCAAACAAAGGTCAGATGTCAGGTCAAATAATGGCTGATACTAATACCTGAAATGAGCTCAGTTCTTTACACTTTTTTTGCTTGGAATTTTTAAGTCTGTACTTTTTCTAGCTTTGTAAAAATAAGGCTTGTTATCCATATAAGTGTTGCACAGCTTCAGGTGCTTGAAAGTCTTGCAAACTTTTTTTCTCAACTGAACCTTCCTAAAAAAAAAAAAAAAAGAATATTCTGAATTTTAATTCTGTAATTCAGATGAACCACTGAAACGGTGCAACTGCACAAATATCTTGTGACATTGTCATGAGTTTAGATGCAAAGGTCAAAATCTAAATGTAATGTTTGCTCTGTGTTTGAGTGCTTATTTCATGTCCTTCATTTTTAGGAATTTGTTCTGCAGGGAGATGGAAACTTGATAGCTTTATTAATTGATGAAAATGTATCTATATAACTTTTTTGCAAGTACCTGTATTATTGTAAATGCCTAGTTCTGGGAAAAGATAGGTAAACTTTCTGAAAGACCCTTTTGCTTCTTGTCTTTTTTTTACTGCCTTGTTAGGTTTTAATATGTGAGAACTCTGGCTTGTTAACTGTACAAGGAATGCTGGCAACTTAAACTTTGGACTGGACTTCATTGCTCTGGGGTGCTTCCTTCAGGAAGATCTAACATTAGTGAAAGGAGCAGTAACAAAGTGTAGAACTTTGTAGGGAAAGAAAGAGAAATGCAGCATCTTAAACCACTGAAAGCAAACTTTGATAGGTCTCTGTTGTTCAGAGCTCTGAATTGCGTGTCTGTCCTGGCTGATTCGAAGCTTCAGATGGGAACCCAGCCCAGACTGGGGTGGCAGGGGAGTTGCGGAGGACGCAGCTGAAGCAGGTGCCGTGCTCAGCTGACCATCCTCCCTGTGTCTGTGCACTGCCAGCACTGTGATGTGCTGCTTCTGCATGTGATGGCCTTTGGAGTTTAATCTGTCCTGGCATAGGAGCACTTCCATGTCCCATTCTGAGCCACCACGGTGGGACAGCACAGGCAGCTTGAGCAGCAACTGCTTTGATAACTGATATATTCCTCCATGCGTGTTTACTCCAAGTAAATGCTCTGAAAATCAAAAAGATTGTTGAAAATATACACCATGCTGGATCAGTAGTACTTTTATTTTAAGTTCATGATAAAGAAAGGAAATCAAAAACAATTTCCCTTCCAAACTGTAAAAGTACTAAATATCCAAATAGTGCAAGTTATTTGAGTGAGTTAAACCACTATAAACATCTTTATGGTAGTATAATTGTATTTCTGTTGATAAGTTTGTTTTGCTATAACTTGAATTCTCTGTGCTTTTCCACAGTAGAGAAAACAGCTATGTTTCCTATGTATAGTTGTGGCAGTTTTGCTCTAATGTTTAAAAGGTTAACTAAGTATAGAGCAGACTGAAGGGTAGATAAGTTTGCTCACATGCTTTTGTTAAATTTATTTGCCCAGCATCAAGTTTTATCAGTAGCACAAACTGAAGCAGATTGAAATGCATGAAGATATTTATGAGAAAACTCTGAACTATGGAATAAATTCTTTCTCAATTCCCTTATGTGTCAGGTATAGTGACCTGCAGGCAGTTATTATATTACAGGATACAATGTGAAGTACATCAGGAAACATAGAAGTACTGAAACATAATGTAAATTTTTTTTTTTTAATGTTGCTTGCTCATGTTCTGTTGTAGTTCGAGATCGGGTTCGGACAAAAATGGAACGTGATATCCTAGTAGAAGTTAATCATCCTTTTATTGTCAAGTTACATTATGGTGAGTTGCATAAAAATTCCTTTTTATAACATAAAAATGGATGTTTGTCAAGATAGTACCTAATACTTGCTTTGTGATTCTAAGAGTCACAGAACATTAGTGTGCTAAGTCCTGATTGTGCAAAGACTTGCTGTGCAGTAATCCTCATGCAAAGAAAGCCCATGGCAGACTTCATGTAGTGTTGAATCTTTATAGGACTGAGTGCTATGTGCTATTAAAAAGCAGTTATCCATTAATAACTGGCTTTTATTTTCCAAAATTGCCAATCTTTACTATGTCCTACTTTAAGTTATTTCTTTTAGTTGCTTTGCTTACTCTATAGAAAACAGATGCAATGGCATTACTTCCAGTTGCCTCAAAATTGGTGGGAACGTACCTTTTAATTTTAATAGTATGGGCAATTGGAAAAAAATGCTTATGTGGAAGATGAGAGGATATCACTACTCTTAATCTCTCACGCAGAAAGTAATGTGAAATAAATGATAGAAGAGTTTCTGGTTTGGTTTGGGTTTTTTTTCAGTTCATATTTTTCTTTTAGGATCCGTTTTTGTAGTTCAAACCTCATGTCTCTCTCTGTGATCTGTCTTAAATAACGTACCTTTCACTATTTTATTCTTCTGCAAACTAGACTCAATTGGTTAAGCTGAGTTTCTAGAGGTTTCAAAATTGGTGCATTAGTTACCAATTTGCCCTTTTAAATCTGTCTTGTTACTTGAAAATCTGGAATTAAATGCTGACTAACCTAAGTAAAGTTAATTTTTTTAGAAATTTAATTGGTGACTTGCTTTACTTTCACAAGGCATAGGAGTTGCTAGGTCCATGATAGAGGATCAGTTACTTAATTCATTTAAATACTTTTCATTAAATACATTTTTCCCCAAAGGAGAAACATGAATTCATAAGGATAATAAGAGTGACTTATTTGGCATGTTATTTTTCTGATTGTGGGTAAAATTAGATAATGTTTACTATTTTGATTGATCTTTTTCAGCTTTTCAAACAGAAGGGAAGCTATATCTTATTTTGGATTTTCTCAGGGGAGGAGACTTGTTTACACGTTTATCCAAAGAGGTAAAGTTTTTTAATTTGAAAAATTGTCTATTGATAAAACTTGATTATAAATTGTCTGTAGACAATTAGGAGAGTTTACTTTTTAAATTTGTTTTCATTGAATAAAATTTTAATTTCTTTTTAACCACCTGTGTTTTCTGTTTGGTTGGGTTTTTTGCACAGAGCAGTTACTTTGTGAAAAGGGAATTTTACATTATTTCTGAAAAAAAGGCTTAGACAAGTAGCCTTTCTCTGTGCTACTTATATACCTGGTAAAGTTTTCTTCTCGTATTGCTTACATGTTTAAATATAAAACTCAGAAAGAGTATGGTTTCATATAAAGTAACTATATTCAAAATAACTGATTTATCTCTGGGTTTAATGTCCAGAATTCAGTGTCAAATAAGATCTTTTTAAATTTACATATGAATGCAAAATCACATCGTTTATAGATACTAAAAAAGCAAGAATTGCATTCCACTTGTTAACTTTTGGAAAATTACTCAAATGTTTTCCTTTTGTCATGACGGTGATATCTCTGTGTAGATGTGGGAAACAATAACCTTGACGAGTTTCATTTCCTCAAATTAATTTGATACTAATTCCTAAGAAATGTTAACATTTAACATATCAGATTTTAAAAAGTTTTTTTGGCCATCAGTCATATGCAAAAACTTGAAACAATATAGCTTGATAGAGATATAAATATATCCAATATATATCTGATAACCTGGATTTGTGATTGTATCTGCTTTCCATTCTCCCTGGCTACAAGAGTATCTGGGACAAGTGGGTGATAACTGCAAAGCTACCTGGTTATTAAGAGCAGAGTAGAATGCAATGCATTTTGTGTATAGATATATCTTCATTTCTGTGCTGACCACATAAATTATTAAATGTATTTTGGGGAAACCATCTGTTTCACGTTGCTTCTTGTAGTTTGTTTTGCCACAGATAAGTAAAAAGGTAAAAAACTTGGATACTTTTCTCTTAAAAACCATAGTTCGTTCTTGATTCCCAAGAAAAAATGTATATTGGTTTCTTGCTGATGACTTTTCCATCTTGAACCACTGAAACTTTATAAAACTTAATATGTTAGATAAGAAATATTTAACATAGGACCTGAATCTAAGGGTATTCATAAGTGATGAGTGAAGTGGGTATGCTGGAGGCAATTAATGTCCCCATATCAATTCGTGTGATTTTAAAATAGATCAGATGAACTAAAAGATGCTTTTTCCCTATTGACTACAAAGGGAAAAGTGATTAATTCGAAGCTAGAGGTGTACACTGCAGATGTTTGAGGTTAGGAGAGAAGAATTCTGTGCAATGTTTTTAAAGTACGTAGTGTGGGTGTATTATCCTCTTGAGATCTTATTATTTGAGCTTTTAAATGCTTCTTATAGAAATTTCCTTTCTTGAATGTGCCTGTACTAAATATTGCCTCTTTTGTAGAAGTAATATCAGCAACAACCTTTTGTACCAGCTTTAGTATCACTTTTTTTCTTCAAACTGCCAGGGGGAAAATAGAATATATTGTCCATTCTTAACTCTTGTTTAGAATAATTTTCATCTTTGCTCCCTGTTACCATTCTTTTTTCTAGGTCCATATGCTTTATCAAAGATATTAGTCTTTAATTCTAAAAACAAAACAAACAAAATAACTGAGTAGTAACTGAAATAGAATCAAATCACACAGGATCTTTTGTTATTTTTATCTTTTTCATACAGTCTCAGAAAAGTTGAATTTTAATATTTCCTCTCAGGAATCACAACATTTGATATAATTAGGACAACAGTTTTGTTTCAATGAATGTAAACAGGGATTAGTTTATCTTCCTAACCAAAAAAGTGGGATTGCTACCTGGATCTTACCTGTGCTCTTAGGTAGACTATTTCCTTAGTTTACTCTTTGACACGCCTTTTCTGCAGTTACATCTCGAGATTGCATCCTGGGTTTTTTACCATCACTGTAACTTCTTTCTAAAAGTACTTAGTCATTTCAAAACCAACATCCATAAGCTTCTCTTGTCTTTCTGACTTTGTCGGCAAAATTCAGGTATTTGGATTTCTGTGGTCCATTTGTTGTCTAGAAATGAAATGGTCGCATCCAGCAAAGAGGTAGTCACATTCTTTAAGTGCTTGCAAAATCTTTCAGGCCTACTACAATGTCTGTCTGTTCTCTGAAACAATCAGAAACTCCTAACCTCCCATTTTGCAGAAAGAATAATATATTGGCTTCAAAATTATTTTTCAACTATGTCCAAGTATTTCAAGTATGAAATAGTATGGGTTATAAAATCCTAGTTTTTGTGTCACCAATAAATTTGCATTTCTAGTGTTCTGTATGGAAATGAATATAAGTATTATGAAGAACCATTCTGAAAAACTACTGTTGTTGTTGTCTAGTGTTAGTACTGGTGTAAGCTTTACAGATTCATATGTAAAATACATTGTGTTGCTTTTTCAGGTGATGTTCACAGAAGACGATGTTAAATTTTACTTGGCAGAATTAGCACTTGCTTTAGACCATCTACATAGTCTTGGAATAATATACCGGGACCTAAAACCAGAAAAGTAAGGCTCCTCTGTGAAAAATGCAGTGTATTGATTTCATTTCTATAGCACTTCTTCCTATGCTCTTTTTCTCAGCTGTTAGGCTTAAGTAATTTACTATATAAATTGAACAGAGGGAGGTGGGGGAGGTTTGTGGGCTGTTTTCATTTAAAAAGTTGGATTTCACCTGTCTCAAAGGGCAAAAAAGCTCTTAGCTCAGGGCTCCTTGAGAGAGCTTTAAACTGTGTTTGAAGGAGGATGGGAACAAAGCCAGAGATAAGCCTGGAGGTGGCACATCATACTCTAAGGGACAGAGTGCTCCCAAGGTCCTTCCATCTGCCTTATCAGTGGAGGTAGGGGATGGGGATCCATGTGGCAGCAAGGATGCAAGAATTATTGATATGATAGATAAATGTTATGAAAGTCGGGTCCTGCTTGGCCAGCTTAATTTCCTGTGACAAAGTGACCTGCTTAGTGGATGTGAGAGAAAGGCTGTGATTGTTGTCTACCTAAACTTCAGTAAAGCCTTGGACATCATTTCCCACAGCGCTCTGCTGGAGAAACTGGCTTCCTGTGGTGTGGCTGGGTGCCCTCTTCACTGGGTATAAAACAGGCTGGGCCCAGAGAATGGTGGGGATTGGATCTCATCCATCTCGTGGCCAGTCACAGGTGCTGTTCCCAGGGCTCAGTGTTGGTTGGGGCCAGTCCTGTTTAACATCTTCTTTGATGAGCTGGACAAGGGGATTGAGTGCACCCTAAGCAGGTTCACAGACAATACCAAGTTGGGTGGGAGTGTTGATCTGCTGAAGGGTAGGAAGGCTCTCCAGAGGGATCTGGACAGGCTGGATGGATGGGTCAGGGCCAGTTGCATGAGCTTCGGTGAGGCCAAGTGCCATGTCCTGCACTTGGGTCACAAGAACCCCATGCAATGCTCCAGGCTTGAGGAAGAGTGTCTGGAAAGCTGCCTGGTGGAAAAGGATCCTGGGAATGTTGTTTGACAGCTGACCGAACGTGTGGTGACAGTGTGCCCAGGTGGCCAAGGCCAGTGGCATCCTGGCTTGTATCAGAAATAGCATGGCCAGCAGGACCAGGGCAGTGATTGTCCCCCTGTACTTGGCACTGGTGAGGCCACACCTCAAATTCTTTGTCTAGTTCTGGGCTCCTCGCTACAAGAAAGACATTGAAGTGTTGGAACATGTCCAGAGAAGGGTAACGGAGCTGGGGAAGGGTCTGGAGCACGAGTCTTACAAGGAGTGACCGAGGGAACTGGGGTTGTTTAGCCTGGAGAAAAGGAGGGTCTTTACAACTACCTGAAAGGAGGTTGTAGTGGGGGGTGGCCTCTTCTCCCAGATAAGAGATGGCAAGACTAGAGGAAGTGTTGCACCAGAGGAGGTTTAGACTGGGTATTAGGAAAGATTTCTTCATTGAAAGGGTTGTCAAGCAACGGGACAGGCTGCCTGGGGAAGTGCTTGAGTTACCATCCTTTGAAGTATTCAAGAAATGTGTGCATGTGGTGCTTGAGGACGTGGTTTAATGTTGAACATGTTGATGCAGGGTGGATGGTTTGACTTGATCCTTAAGGTCTTTTCCAACCTTAACTATTCTGTGGTTCTAAGAGCATCTTGCTTCAGAGTGATACAGCAAATGTTATAGTCCAAGTTACTTTAAATAAAGCATATACTGAAATATTCCTGCTTTTCGTTTTCAAGGTGTTTTAATGCATGCAAAGGAGAAGAGGTCTTCTTGGCCTTTTGTTTTCATTATTGTAGGATTTCTGAATTAAACTCGGAACAAATGCATGATACAAAGTTGCACTTGAACGTTGTATCTTTGCATTTGAAGCCTGACAGCAAAAATTTTTTTTTCCAATGCTGATTTTTAAAATGCACTGCAAATAAGAGCAGGATGGAGTTTAAAGTAAAATATGAAAATAGTAAGTCATAGGCTTTTTTTTTAGTGTATTGACAATCACATAATTACACTGAAAACTTAAAATAAGCTTGAAAGTACAATTCCAATATGGTGGTGTGTCTTGATATAGCCATCCATGCTTCATTCAAATGACTGAATACTATCTCCTGATTATGCCTTTCCTCCCATAATTTTTTTTGAGTTCTAGAAGATGTAAAGGAGAAAATTATGAAAATGTTTAGCCCTGACTGACAAGAATGGAAAGATTCCTGCTCAAATCTGGAAATTGGAGAGTTTTGGCATGGTATTGCACTTACCAATGAACAGGGAATGAATTTATGTTTAAACTTTGGGAGTGTTCCCTTAAGTAATTCTGAAGAGAGGAAAAATAAGCTTAACATGTGGAAAACGATCTTCAGAAAGCAAAGTGAGAGAACTTGGGTTATTTTGCTAACATTACCTTCCAAGAGGAAAAGGATGAAATAGTAATTGACAGAAAACTAGCTACTGCCTCAGACATAGGGGGTTTTTTTGTTGTTTTTGTTTTGTTCTTTAAATACTGTCTGTCTATACCTAGCCTTGGGTTTAAGCCTTGGATGCATATAATTAAAAAAAAAAAAGTCTGAATATTGAAATGACTTGTAAATTATGGATAAGGGAGTAACAAGAGTAATTCTTACCGACTATGTCTGTATTGTGGGGCTGTTTCCCACCAGGGAAACTGCGAAGAGGAAGAGGAAGGGGATGGGGAAATGGACAAGTGCCTGGGTCGTGTCTCATCCCCAGAATGAAGCGCAGCTCCTCACAGGAGAAGCTGGAGAAACGAAGTTTGCTGTGAAGGGATGTTACAAAATCCAATTCTCGAGCACTTGGCATGATTGGAAATGTGATTATATTCAGTGGTAGTGAAGGATAGTTGGCATCTTGAAGTGTGGCCGATCTTGTGATTTAAATGAAAACATGGAAGCACAAGGCCTGCTCCAGGTATAGGGCCTGTGGGTCCTGTCCTTTGGTACAACGTGAAAATATTTATTATTTAATGTTATTTGAAGTGGTTGACACCCTCTGAAATGGTAATAACAAATTAAGACCTGTTTTGTAGGCATATGAAAACATACCTGGTATAAAAGAGACAGAACTATACCTCTATTTTTAACAAATGTGATGAAGCTGCATGTGAAAGTTCAAGATAAATGTTACTACATACTGAATTTACCAAATGGTTAAACAAAACTTTGATAAGCTGATTGTTTTGTAATCCTGAGAAAGAAAGAATTTAGGAAAAAGAAAAAGTGTAGTTTGAAAGTGTCTTCTAGTAACTCATTTTCATGCACGTTCAATTCTGCTTGTCTTTGTGTATACTGTTCTGTTTATTCCTAAATGTTATTACTACATTATCCAAAACAACAGTTAAAAAATATTTTAATTAAGTTTTTTTTTTTTTTTTTAGCATCCTGCTGGATGAGGAAGGACATATCAAATTGACAGGTGAATAAAGGGAAATTGCAATACCTGGATCTTTTCTGTTCATCATAAAATCTTGGCTTTTTTCTTTTGGTAAACCAATATGGTAAAGTAAATAAAAATTAAGTAAATAAGTAATTTTAACTGATAGGTAATTTAGCTGTGGAGAAAATAGTGTAATTGAAATAAATGAAGTACATAAATATTTCAATAAGATATCTGCTTTACAAGTATATCTGATATTACAGACCTATGACAATGTGGGGAGGGGAGGAGAATTCTGTAATTCCAATATTAGACAAATGGTAGAAGCATAACACTTCACATTATGGTAAAAGTATCAACCATGAGTGATTTTTATTTTTTTTTAATATATATTTACAGTTGGAACTAATTTTTTTTTCCTTTCAGATTTTGGCTTAAGTAAGGAGTCAATTGATCATGAAAAAAAAGCCTACTCTTTCTGTGGGACAGTGGAATATATGGCACCAGAAGTTGTCAACAGACGAGGCCATACACAGAGTGCCGACTGGTGGTCTTTTGGTGTTTTAATGGTAGGTTTCTGGTAAATGTAAATAATAACAAAACTGTGCTTTGCAAGGTTTGGTGAAACAAATAAAACACTAACCTTTAAGGTGAGCTTTACATGAATCCTACAAAGGAAGTCTAAATTAAATGAAATTAATAATGCCACAGAGTTTGGATCAAGAACATGGACTAGGTTTCATATCCACACCAACAATATGCCATATTTTTATCATCATTTAATTGAAATACTTTGCATTTATATATGTTTATATATTTGCATCTATAGTAGATTGAATGTATGGAGACCAAGAGGAATACTGAAGTATACAGAAAAAATACTGTCTATTCCAAAGTGGGGAAAAAATTTAGATGCAAGTTTTAAATTTTAATATACTTTCAAGAGGAAAAAGAAGATCAGTTCCTTTCTAATTAAAGTCTACAGTGTAATTAAAATTTAGTGAAATAATGACAGCTGTTGTTTTCACACATCACAATAATCTAAATGACACTGGACTGACCTGGGATATGGTTGCTCAGTTGCTTATGGTGTTTCTACAAGGGTTAATTACTATGAAGTTGCAGGTTTGGGGGAAATAATATACATAATGAATATAAATTTGGAAAAGAATAATTAATAAATCATGTGTGGTGTTAAAGGAATGTTGAAAGACTTTTAATATTTAAAATCTGTGTGCATTTAACCTGACGTAGAGGTTAAATAATTTTATTTTTAAAGAAAATGTTTTTGTTTCTTACTGCTTCTGCTACACAATTGTAACAGTGCAACTAATGTGTGTGCTTTATAGTACAAGAAGGACTCTTGTGTCTGAAAATAGGTCATCCTATCTCTTTTTAATCATTTAGAATGCTGTTGTGATCTGAAAACTGACTATGTAAAAGCAGCACCTGATAACTAAACTCTCTCCAGACAAGCACACACACTCCTCACAACTGCACACATCAGTAAGAACACAGTCAATTAAAAGATAATTACAATGTAGTTGCAGAATATTTGTTGTTGATAATACTAACATAATTAAACTTCAGCTTTACTTTATAAAACTGGAAAACATGATTTTGTGTTTATGCACGGTAAGTGCATATGGTAAAATTACAAACAACTGTAAGATGTTAGATGTGACTGGTGTAGCTTTCACAGTCTAAGTGCACTGCATGTTAAGCACTTCGGCTTCTACTTTGAATACAGAAACATGACCTTAAAAAACCAAATTCTCTGAATTAGTATATGGAATACAGTGCAGTTTTCTCTAAGACATATTTTTGTTGCTTGCTTTTCCAGTTGGTAATTTGCATAGACAATCTGTATGTATCCAGTTTTAAATCATTCTTAATTACTTTCTGTGTTGATCAAGACTTTAAGTAATGGTTGGTGTGGTGTAAGTACACAGCATCTAGACTGAGCAGAAATTATAGCATAGAAAGGGAGACTCTAAAGATAGCTCAACAAACCATTTGGCCTCTTTTCTTGTGCTGCTAGAAATGAAGTAATGTGTAAGCCATTGTTGAGAAATGTATTGCAGTTTGTCCTTTAAAATGGTGACAGTTTTAAGGGATGCCATACATCCAAAAACTGTCACCATTTAAAGCTTCATTTCAGAAGCATTGAGATATTGTCCTGCTGAAATAAAACATTATAACTAGGGAAAGTCAATATTGGCTTTTTTTTAAAGTACTATTGGCACATAATGTTGGAATATAGTATTTGAGAGGGGCAACACAGAATACATATGCTGAGCTGTTAATACAAATGTGTGTGCTTGTGACAAATTAGGAGCTTGCCAAACAACTTTGTATTTCAAAACATGCAGCACTACAAATTTACCTCTTAAAAAGTGGTTTTCTTTCAAGTGCAACTTGTGAAGAACCAAACACAAACAAAAAACTTTTCTTCTATTCCTTATACCTCTCACATCTTCCTGACAATTGTCTTAACTGTTGAAGTATTAAAGTTAAAAGTAGGATATTTTTTATGTTGGCATTATTATTAAATTTAAAATTTTTAAATATTTCTTGAAAACCTTTTATTTAGAGTATAAAATACCTAGTAGTAGTGAAGAGATAGCAGTAAGAAGTTTAAAATTTATTTTAATAAAATGGTGTTGTAAAGAATACTGTTAGTGCAACGTCATGCTCTTATTTTAGATCTAAGAATACTACAGTCACACATTATTAATTCAAGTTATCCATGTACATTTTTAATGTTTAGAAGGCTGAATGTCTGGGTCGTACCAGAAAAGAGAGGAATACGATACCTTGTGTTCAGTGTGACTTAAGTTTGCATAAGCTGTTCAGAGGGCTCCTTTAGAATTATTTTAATTTTTGTCTTTAACTGAAATTTCATTGAACTAAGTTATTTTGCAATTCTTAAACTAAAAAAAATCGTGATTTCTGCCTAAGAGTCTGGCTACCATGACTGCTGCCAGACTGCCTTCACTACCTCACTTAGACCTGATAGCCCTGCGTTATACTGCAGCCCAACAGAAGTGCCTTTATATTTATCTATTTTTACTCAGTCACTTTCAGAACAAATCAGTATTTTAACAGTGTCTGTTGCTTATTGCAAGGCACTGTAGGATGTGCATGTACATACTGTGTAGCTCTTGCGTGTTCCTTCAGGCTTTATTTCCACTGTATGCACATAGTAACCACTTCTCATCATGCATGTCTTTGTCAATCAACTAACCTTTCCCCCTTTTCAACAAAGGCTATGTACATGCCAATTTTAAAAATTTTTACCTTTTTAAAAATCTCTGCATGAGGAGAAATCATCACTAACTTTTGAAAGGGGAATCTTTTTCCCTACCCCCCACTTTGTTGAAAACTAAGAATACAGCTGTGTAGATCAAGTCTTCCAAGAATAAACTTTTTAGGCAGAATTGAAACACAGAAAGTTACAGTCTAAATTGTTCAGGCAAAAGTATGTAAAGCAAGGTATCAATGTAGGAAAATATTTTGCAGCTTTAAAAATGGCAAAGGCTGCTCAATGTTTGTAGCAATTTAAACTGTACAGTGAAGTTGTTTTGCGCAGACTTGATTGTTAACATGCATGAATTTTGGAAGGTTAAGATGCTAAGTAGTTTTGTCAAAAATTAGTTTTTGTCCAGGTAATGTAATTGATGAAAGTTTTACTCTATACAGTTTGAAATGCTCACTGGTACTCTACCTTTCCAAGGGAAAGACAGAAAAGAAACCATGACTATGATTCTCAAGTGAGTACACTCTTATTTATATATCTCATCAGGTATTCTACAGGGATGCCCTCCGGGCTGCAATATCTAATTTCTACTCTTCCCTCATTTTCAAAGGTACTGGTAAATCCTCACTCCCTATTCCATATTATTAATTCCCTTTGCTGCCTATCTAATTTGCTTTTCTATTCCTCCCCCATACCAGGTACAAAGAATTTCATAGCAGCTCTTTAATCTGTAATAATAACTTCAACCATATGGTCTTTCCCATCTTATTTCCATAATATTTTTTAACTTTCTTATCCTTTTTGATAACCTGTCCTTTTTTTTCCTTGGTGTTTTTTTTTTCTTTGTTTTAGGTTTTTGGGACTTTTTGAGAAAGTATTTTCTCTCCTCCTTTATCTTACCAGCTCCTCACCGTACTTCCTTATATTAATGGTGCTACCAACAACTTGCTTCCCCAATATTTCCTCTATTTGATAAAGTGCATCCTCCCTTCTCTACTCTCCTATAACTTGCCCAAGCTCCAATTTTCCCCTTGGCTATTTTCAGTATAGATTTTGCATTAGCTATATTGTGGAAATTACTTTCCTTCATGCAGTTAATGTTCTTGTTTTTGCTAATGAAGGCCTGCTTTTTCTTCCCTGCTGATTCCCCACATATCCTCTAAACTAATACAACCTGTGGCATAACTGCCCCACTTTGGGACTGTAGCCAAACACTGTGCAAACAAGTCTATTTCCTCATATCATAGGTTCACTTCTCTGTTTCCATCCACTTTAACTAATACCATTTTTTTCCATGAAAGCTCATAAGGCTATTTTAGTTTTCTCATTTTTTTGCTTTATTGTTTATCATTGTTCTTAGTCCTGTTACCACTTGTCTACCTGTATATCAAAGTTGACACTTCTTCTACACCAACAGCCTGTTTTGAAAAATAAATATATGAAATTCTTTCATATTTTTTTTAAGTAATTAGAATGTGAAAACCGCTAGACAAAAAACTCATTCTTTTCCTTGCTTTTGCTTTCATAATGCATAAGTTATGTTTTTCTTTGCCCTTGTTTTTCTTCCTCATCTTATTTGCAAATATATTTAGTGATGCTACTTTCTTCTGCTGGCTCAGCACCATGCCAGTTCAAAGCTCCATGTTTTGATTATTCAATGTCTGTAACTAAAAGGTTCTATCTATTCACAGCAATTCTCTCCTCCCCCTATTTACAAGAAGCTAGTCTGAGATAATTCTACTGCACTCTCACTTGTTTCAGGAGCCATGCATTTTTTTCTCTCCATGTCTCATGAGTCACATCTTTCTCTTCTTCCTTTTGCTTGCATGTGACTCCACTCTGTTCCTCAGCAGTCTTTTCACTGTTGCTATAAATATCTTCTGTATTCAGCTGCCATGTCGAATATTCTCGTTGCATCTCCCCAGTTAATTGATATTCATAGTCTTTGATAGCCCAGAGAGTGGTGGTGAATGGAATTGCATCAAGCTGGTGGCCGGTCACAGGTGATGTTCCCCAGCACTGGGTACTGGGGCCAGTCCTGTTTAACATCTTTAGCAACAATCTGGACAAGGGAATCAAGGGCACCTCAGCCAGTTTGCAGGTGACCCCAAGTTGGGTGAGAGGGAGTGGGGATCTGCTGGAGGGTAGGAAGGCTTTACAGAAGAATCTGGACAGGCTGAATCAGTGGGCCAAGGGCAATTATATGAGGCCAAGTGCCAGGTCCTGCACTTGGGTCACAACAACCCCACGCAACACTCCAGTCTTAGGGAAGAGTGGCTGGAAAGCTGTGAAGAGGAGAAGGATCCTGGGGTTGTTGGTCAGCAGTGGCTGAACATGAGCCAACAGTGTGCCCAGGTGGCCAAGAAGGCCAATGACATCCTGGCTTGTATCAGAAATCAGGTGGCCATCAGGACCAGGGCAGAGACCATCCCCCTGTACTTGGCACTGGTGAGGCCCCACCTCGACTCCTGTGTTCAGTTTTGGGCTCCTCAGTACAATAAATACATTTAAGTATCAGAGCAAGTCCAGAGGAGGGCAGTGGAGCTGGTGAAGGGTCTGGAGCTCAAGCTGCAGATCCCTGCAACTGAGGGAACTGGGGTTGTTTAGCCTGGAGGAAAGGAGACTCGGGGGAAACTTTATCACTCTCTACAACTACCTAAAAGGAGTTTGTAGCAAGGTGGGAGTTCGTCCCTTTTCCCAAATAAGAAGTGACAGGACAAGAGGAAATGACCTCGAGTGCACGGGGAGGTTTAGACTGGATATTAAGAAAAGTTTCTTCACAGAAAGGATTGTCAAGCATTGAGACAGGCTACCCAGGGAAGTGGTGCAGTCACCATCCCCTGAAGGTTTTTAAAAAGATGTAGTTGTGGCACTTAGGGACATGATTTAGTGGTGGACTTGGCAGTGCTGGGCTAATGCTTGGACCTGATGATATTAAAGGTCTTTTCCAACCTAAACCATCATAGGACTCCATGATTCTGTAATCACTTTCAGATTTCCTTTGAGCATGAATCTCTCAATTCCCTTGCCAACTTTATTTTTTCACCTTCTAGTCTTTGTAATTGTTATTAGTTTCAAATAGCAGCACAGAAAGTGCGCAGTGGGTTTTATGATGTAAAGATATTTTACCCTCTTCAATGTTTTGTACACTTATGAATAATAAAGTATTTTGCTGTTGGTAATATAAACAGCTGAAAAACAGAAGATATTTTAAAGTGTTTTCTAATAAGTTCACACTTGTTTTTTCCGGCTATATGTTCTCTTTTTATTTTCTGCATACTGATATATTTTTTCCTTAAATTTTTTGTAAAACTTTAAAATGGACATGTGTGCATATGAACTGGAATTTCCATAGTGTATCATTTAAGATATATTGCTTTTCTTACCTTCTGTTTCTTAAAATTCCACAGAAAATGCATTCTTCTTACACTACATGGGGTTTTGGGTTCTTTATTTCTCTCAACATTATCAAGACAAGTTTTCGTTTATTCTTGTGTGTTTTACCTAAAACTGAGAAACTCTGTAGTTTGAAGAAATCATAGGTTGCAGCAATAGAGTTCAATTTTTAAAAGATATTTTCTCTTTACTGAAGAGGTATGCCTTCATATAAAGCTTTCCTGTTGTCTATCAGGAATGTCAGAAAAAAATTGCTGTCACTCATGTAGTTGCATGCCATAGGAACTCTGAGGACCTGGTGATTGCCTTTTCTTCTGCCGTGTCACATGTCCAGTACAGGGGTTTGTGAAAGGTGCCCCTTCATGATGGAGAAGGAGCAGTGAGAGTCATGATCTCTGTAGTTTGCACGAGGGCCTCTAACTCACTCCACTGTGGACTGCAGTATGTACCAGTCCTTTGTTTCTGTCTGTTGAGTCACTTCTCCATAAGATTAATTGCAGTTGGTTTTGGCCTGGTTTTAGATTTTTCTAGGCAGCTGACCTTTCATGCTGAGCCTCCAGGGCTGCATCTTCATGTTGGTGGAGTTGTTTTGGATTATAACAGGACAAAGATTCCCACCCGCCCCAGCACAGTCCTATCATGCTTGTCTGTTCTCGGTCCTTCAGGAACATTGTAAATGTTACCATTGTGCTTTTGCAGACAGTGTGTTCCCTGCTTTCAATGTAGCTCTGTGATGCTTGACTATAAGCAGAAACGACATCACATGAACATGCAGTGGAATCACAAAATATAAAATGCATGAGTAAGAATTCAGCTGCTAATAGTGCATTGCAATCAGGAAGCATTGGATAGCCCACTGCCCGTTCCTCCACTCCACTGGTGGCCTTGATCTGCCAACATCTGTAGTATGCTATTGAAGAGCCCAAAGAAGGCAAAGTTTTTCAGACTTTTCCTCCTCCATGCCACTGACTGTTTTAATGCTGAAAGGAATGGAAAATTTTTTATTAATTCTAGTTTTAAAGTAATGAACAGTGAACCAGTGGCAACACATACGCACTTGCTGAAGTGTCACGGAGATAGACATCTACAAATACCTGAAACACAAGGCAGATCATGTCTTCTGACTGAAACATACACAAAGCTCGTGTCATGGACTGTTACAGAAAAATACAAGCTACAGGTTGAATTAGTGATGGAAAGGAGTGAATTATATCCCTCTTTACCATTGTTATAAGAAAAAGTGAGACCTAGTAACAGTGAGAGAATGGAGACTCAATGTTAAGTGGAGAGGAGAAAAATATGGCAAGGATTAGAAAACAAAACTAAGTGACAGAACTACAAAATTTTAAATTGAAAAATTGAAGACTGGCAAGTTGGAAAAATATTTTAAATAGATTGGTGAGGGGAGTAAAAAGAAAAAAGGAGTGATCTTTTTAGGTTTTTTTACCTGCTATTTTTTTAAAATGTCCTACCTTAATTCAGTTGCTGTCATCTAGCTTAGGTTTCCTGTTGTTTTTCCTGGGTTCTTTTGGTAGTTGTCCTATTGTGATAGTTTTCTCACTCCTAAACTGTCTTTTATATGAACTATCAGAATGGTTTGTTTGGTGTCATTTGGTAGTAACTGGACCTATAAATAAATAAAACATATTGCAAAACTTTACAAGTTTGTAAACTGTTATCCTATAACTATTCTTCTCTGTGTGTTTTGCTACCTCTTCCTCTACTTAATTTCTGGAGTCATTACTGAAAATATTATTAAAAAAAAAAAAACAAAAAAAAACAAAAAAAAAACCAAACCCCAAACATATTTACATGACTGACAGCACTTTTGCTCTGTGTCTGATGTCTGAAGGCAATTTCTCAGTGATGCTACTTTGTTACAGATTTTTTGAATGACAAAGGAAGGGAGAATGCAGAGTTAATTCTCACCTAAATATATTTGTATACTATTAATTATTTTTATTCTATAGGGCCAAACTTGGAATGCCCCAGTTCTTGAGTCCTGAAGCACAGAGTCTTCTGCGAATGCTCTTCAAAAGAAACCCAGCAAACAGATTAGGTAAAATGTTCAGCAAAATATTCAAAATTTGATCATAATATTAATAACATCAGTGATAAATTTTAATTCTTGTGTAAAATAGGCTTTAAAGTAAGAATGTAGGTTGCCTGTTTGTTCTTCTAGTGATCAACAAAGTATTATCATTTCCGCTAGTCATACATCTAAAATTAATGCAAAAGAAATAAGAAATAATTTTGCTAACCATTCCTTTGACCAAGGAGAAAACAGTTCACAGGCATTTTTCTTCCTTATAAAAGGAGCAGGTCCAGATGGAGTAGAAGAAATTAAGAGGCATGCATTCTTTTCCAAAATAGATTGGAATGTGAGTATCTAATTAAAAATTAATTCAGTGAATTTCTTGGTTAAGTTTTAGTGGTGTCATATAACTTTTCCATTCACTATGTGTTCCTTCTCTTCAGAAATTATACAGGAGAGAAATTCATCCCCCTTTTAAACCCGCAACTGGCAGACCTGAAGATACATTTTATTTTGACCCTGAGTTTACAGCAAAAACTCCAAAAGGTAAACAGATAACAATGAAGTTATTTACATAATTAAAAAATAGAATTTGAATGGATCAGTTTTGCACTGATCCATTCAGAATTTAATAGAAAGTTGTCTTTACAAATTTAGGATGTTACCAAAATTTCACTATTCTCCTACAAAAACATAACGCATAAATGCTGCTATATGTAAATATTTTAGTAAAGTACTAAAGTTGTATTAGAAAATTATGTGATTATCAGTTGTGTTTCCAGATGATATATGCAAAAGAATTCATTAATTATTTGTATTTTCATCCTCAGAAACACTGTCTGGAAATTCCAGTCTTTGTATAGAATAAAGCTGTAGTTTGCTCCTCAGCAAATAATCTCTATATGAGACATAATCTCATATCTGTATTTTAAAAACTCTACTTGTAACTAGACAATGTGTTTTTCAGATTCACCAGGTATCCCACCCAGTGCTAATGCACATCAGCTCTTTCGGGGATTTAGTTTTGTAGCCATTGCATCTGATGATGAAAGCCAAGCAATGCAGACAGTTGGAGTGCATTCAATCGTCCAGGTGAGTACATCTACTTAAAAAAAAAAATCGGTAGATCAGTAAATTCAAAAAAAAAAAAATCAGTGCTGTGTCTTGGTGGAGGGATTGGTTCCTTCCTGACAGGATGAAGTACCATGACAAAGTCATTATCAGCTTTTATACAAGAAAAGTAAAGATCCGATTGTTTTATCTAAACAAAATCTCTGAAGGTGCAGGACCTGTTTAATTACTGACCAGCTACAGGTGTAAATACGCTTCAATCCTTAAATGAAAACATTCTACCATCTCTACTGATTTAACTCTTTAATATCAAGCCATAACTATAAGATAGAGGAGAATAACAGATGTCTTGACTTTTTTTCCCCATGCATGAAAATGTCAGTTGATTCCTCCAATGCAGTAGTAGGAGGCACTGAAATACAATTGAGGATTGTATCTGAATGTTCTGGACTGCTGTGCATCTTGGAATCCATGACCCAGGACATATTCTATCTCTCCCAAGCCACTTTAAGTTAATTTGCTATTCTGTGCTATTTTGTGACTGATTTCAGTGTATCAGACAAGTCAGTGTTACAGTTCGTGCTGGAGCTTTCGCTTCCTTGAAGTACTAGAACGACTCCAGTACAGCCTCCTGTATAATTGTGAGGTTGTCACTTTTAATAGCCTAATGCATTTGCTATTCTTAAATATTCTGTTACTGCCAGTGCTGCTTATTTTTGTTCAACAGACCTCTGGGAAGGTGCAGTTTTCTGTGAGACAAGAAAGGGGTGAGCCTCTTGCTAGAATGGGGAGAGGCTTGCCTTGCCTCCTTATGAGGCTGAGGTCATTCCAAAATACACTGGAGAGTTTACAACTAGCAGGGACAAAAGCAGATGCACGTGCAGGAGAGAAAACGGAAAGATCTCTTAAAAAATTGTTTTTCTGCCTCCTCTTTCTGCTTTTAATAATTCTAATTTTACTGAGTCATGAAAATCAACTGGTGATCTAAACTGTATTGAAAATTTCTTGATGTATGGGTACAAAATACAAAGGTGGGCTCTATGATAGGGTTTATTTGTATTTTGCACTGCACAGGTATTTTGAAGATGTCGGAGAAAATAAAAAACAAAACCACAATTTATTCAGAACATTAATAACTCTTGTATTTCCTTAACATTGTCATTGTGTCTAGAATAGTCTCAACATGCTTTTTTCTACACGTTACTGTTTCATGTGTAATAAAATTTTGAAAATACAAGCTTATATCCTTTTTTATTCTCAAGAAGCTGTCTGATTTGATATATGCATAGGATTATTTCTGGTCCTGATATCTTGGTAAAAGTTTCTTCAAGCTATTCTGTGCTGCTTCTTTCCCCCATAGTTTTGTGGATGAAATTATTTCTCTTTGTGTATGGTTTCCTTCTCTTGTAAAGGTCTGTTTCTCTGATGCCTTTCCTCTGTGCCCCTCAACCACTTCCTCACTCCTATTTCCTCTTTTCTGTGCTGCAGGATACCCAGATGGTTTCCTGCAAATGCTTTGCATCCTTTGCACAAACTCCTTACACTAGAACACCATTTCCTTCCCTTACAAGAGTGAACATTTGTCCTTCTTTCAGCTTTTTATTTCTGTGAAAGGATTTTTTGACTGCCCTGCCATGCAATTCCATTTAATTATATTCTATTCAGTATGTCTGAATTCTCCAGCTGGCATTCATCTGTCTATTCAGATAATAGAAACAAATGATACCTTTTTACCATTGTGGTATCACTATTTTATCTTGAAGTCTTCTGGGTTTTTTTGTTTGTTTGTTTGGAAATTCCATTTTTAAGTCAGTAATCAGAAAAATAATTCTGTCAGTTTCTAAAATACAGTGTGCAATATTTGCAATATATCTAATTTACAATTTATCTCTAATTTACTAATTTTAAACAAAAGGTAGTGCCTCTTTAGACCACTTTGACATTGTATAGTCATCAGTTTAAAGTTTGAAGCAAATCAATAGGAATTTAAAAGAATTTATTTTGATAAAAATATCAGTTATATATTAAGAATAATCATCAATTGATAATGTTATTTTGGTAGCAGTTGCACAGGAACAGCATTCAGTTTACTGATGGATATGAAGTAAAGGAAGATATTGGAGTTGGGTCTTACTCTATCTGCAAGAGATGTATTCATAAAGCTTCCAACATGGAGTATGCTGTAAAGGTAATGACTGTTATAAATCACATTTTTCAGAACATAAAAATTAAGATAATTTTTAATATAAAAATATATTATATGCAACTGTGAACTATACTAGTCAACCCAATAGAATATATATTGGGAGATATTTCTATAGTATTTCTATGGCTTTTGTTATCGATATGCTTTTTTGGGTGGTGAAAAGCAACCTTCAGTCCTTGAATCACCTATATAATTATGGCAACTGATAAGAGCTGCAAGATTGCTTCTAGGAGGAAATGTGCTACGAAAAACTTTCATGACATTTATATTTTTTTTATAAATGTAATTGATTACTTTTATTCAAACATAGTTATGTATGGTTTTTTTGCTTCCAAAGTAAATTCATGAATTCTCAAGTGGGTAAGGCATTGGTAACAGTGTTAAGTCTGGTACAACTTCCAGAATAAACTTCAACTCTGTCTTTGCTTCCTAGTTTTCAACAAGATTTTAATGTTGTTATTATGTTATTCTATTGGGCTTTCTTAACACTTCTTTGAAGGCATTAAATTCTTAGTTGAAATCAGTAGATTTCCCAGAACTGCAATTACAAGGTTTTTTGTCTTTCTGTATAACACTGTGGGACTGAATGGTTACTATGAAAGCAGAAATATGGATTAGCAGATATTCTAAGTGGAAAAATAAAAGCAGTCTTTAAATCCTGTACTATGAGAGAGTTCTCTTTTTTAATTGCTGAACAGCTTACTACCTAATTATGTAGAATGTGAAGATGAATTATGTTTTGCTGTACCCTTATATGTAGATTGCCTATTGGAGACCTTCCAGTTTCAATCTGGTAGTTAAATACTTATCTTTATTCTGATTCTGGCCAGGAACAGATTTGATTTCTGTGCTTTCAATTTGAAGTAAGTTTTTGAAATTGGAAGAAAGTATGGCATAGCTGTTAATTCCCTCAGCTACAAAACTTACTGTGAAGATTGCCTCACTTTTTCTATTGCCTCTGTTAAGGCATTTTTTTTCCTCAAGGAATCAAGACAAAAGGAATAAGGTGATCGATGTCTGATGTGTTAGGATGGGCCTGGTGGCAGTAAGGGCATAAGATGAAGGGGTAAGATAGAGATGGAAAAGACATTATAGGAAATTCTACAATTCAGGAGGAAAAAACTGAAGAATGCTTTCTAAATAGGGCAAAATAATATTTTTTTTTGTTTACAGAGGGAGAACTTCAGAGCCTTATAGCAAGTCTCCAGAGATTCAAATGGACTTTCATAATGAATGCTTTCTCTAAATTTTTTATTCTCTCGTACTTTATCTTTTGCTGCACCAAATATTTTTTTGAGATCAGTTCATTAACAACATCAAACCAGTATCTCATCTTAAATTAGGAACTTCCTATTTTATTAAATAAAGGGTGACTGAAGACTTATCTACTAAACAGCTTTACATTGTTTATCACAACCAAAGGTATCAGATCGCTTATCTTCCAAAATTCTTTTCAACAGAGATTTTTTTTCATTTCTTAACATTTTTTGCTTTGCCTTGCTGTTCCAATTTAACCAAGTGGATTTGGCTTATAATCTGTGCCCTGTACAACAATAAATATTGTTTAACTGTTTATGCCAGTAAGCACCCCGAAGTGTTACACTATATAATATTCACAAAAAGAATTATACTTCTGTATCTATTTGCTCTTACAGATTATTGACAAGAGTAAAAGAGATCCAACAGAGGAGATTGAAATCCTGCTGCGCTATGGACAGCATCCAAATATTATTACCCTAAAAGATGTAAGTAGCATTTTAGAGACATCCTTTAGTGTATTATAATTGTGTATCACTTTCTAATTTGAGAGATGACAAACTGCATGTTTTAGATTTGTGTTCATGTTTTTCAGTATTTAAAAATAAAACAATGTCCCAATGCAATTTATTCAACAGTATCTAGGTTTTTTGCAGACATTTTCTTTTAAAGATGCTCATATTTTGGTACAGCATAATCCTAAAGATTCAAATAACTCATCCTTCATAAATGCTAGCACAAGAATAAGTCATTTGACATTGGCTGTATTTTAAAGCAACAAGCAAGTTTTGTTTTTTTTTACTTAACTTTGAATCTGCTTTGGTCTACATTAATCAAAAGCAATTTTGATGTACATTATTATATAACTAAGAACTCACTGTTAGCTCAGTACCCGAAGTAATTTTCATGGACAGTTGCAAGTATTACTCAATATTAGACAAAATCTTTCCATATTCATGATTATCACTGTTTTTTACCTATTATCTTTGTCTGGTCTTTGTCTGGAACACTATCTAGCTATTTTTACTTTGCTGTTTGCTCTGACCGTAGAAATGCTCTGACCATAAAAAGCAGGGAATAGCATAAGTTAGGAGGTAGAGGTTTTTCGTAGTAAACAATAGATTCTGATGATCTAACAGAAAAAGAAAATTGTCTTTCTCCCCTTGATTATTCTTTAAAGAGGATTAAAAATTAAAAAGGTATATGCTTAATGACTTTCTTAGAGTGCAGGAAAATATTCTGGTTCCCCAAACCAAACCTCAAGCAAAACAGCAAACCATTTCCTGGAAGCTGAGCTCAGCTGAAGGGAGATTATCAGACATTTCAAAGTCATTAAAACAATAGCTCATAAATACTGTGGAGATGAGCACTAGAGAACTCTGCAGGAAGTTCTTCTACTATAATCTGTCTTCACCTTATCCATATCATATAGTTCGGCCCTTTCTTGGATGAACAAAATAAGGCAGATATACAGGGGAGCCCACCATGGAACTTACCTTACTGCAGGCTGGATACCATAATTGCAATCCCACTTTCCGTTCTGCTTCGTGCAGACAATAAAGCAACTGTGCTAAACAGAACCTGCATCAGCATTCATGTTGCTCTTAGTGCTGCATGTTGGCTCGTGTGTTACTTTAAGTCATAATAGAGGTTATGTTATTTAAGTGGGAAGGCAAACGTAAGAATATGGGCACTTACCTGAACTTTAGCTTTATGAATATTTTACACTGAGAACAGAGAATCCAGGCAACCTTGAACAGTTGCCATATATGCTGAACTATTTTACTTTGTAATTAATTTTTTATCACCATCAGTCATCTTTCAGCAGGAACCATCTTTCATGCACAGCAACAGCAATACACAAATAGGAGACTACAAAAACAACAACAAAAAAAAAAACCTTAAGCCCAAAGAGAAAGACAGCAGACTGTGATTCTCACTCACTTCAGCTTCAGATCAGTTCTCCAAGCAGACATTATGGATGTCCAGTGTAAGAAAAGAGGTGTAGGATTCATATATAATAGAAACTTGTATATTATTCAATACTATAAGAATTTAACATTAAGTTTTCATTGTCCTAAATCTGTAGATCCAAGGGGCAGATTGCTTGCATATGCCACAATATAGTGGTGTGCTATTGCAACTTTCAGAGGAGACAATAAGGAGTGTTTTTCCTTCAGGTCTCAAACTTTAGCACCACGTCTCATTATAAAAATAAAACTCATTGTTGATTTGCTCAATTTTTCATTCAGTTCTGCATCAAATCTTAAATGCTTCTAATCTGAAAAACCAAAATAAAACACTTCAGCATTTAAGTGCCTGTCTGTGGAAATAATTATTCTGCAAGAAATAGTTTCTTTTCTTCTATTTCAAGAAGAAATGCAGTAATACTGGAATTAAGCTTAAGATGGAAATTTGATTTCTTGTTCAGCCTTTTTATGTTATTTAATTCTGAAGGTGTTTGGATTGAAACAATGGATATTCAAAAGACCAAATTATTTCTGCAGTGCACAGTCCTCTGGGATTTTGCTTCTGATTGTTATCAGTGGTCTTTTTGAGTTGCACAGTATATAAACAAAAGAAGGAGCTATATTGTGCTAACTCAGATGTCCTTCTTATCCAATATCCTGCCCCTGACAGAGGCCATTAGTGGATGCCTAGGAAACAGTGTAAGAACAGAGGAAGCACACAGCTTCCAACAAAACATTACCTACAAACTTCCTGTGCCAGGCCATTATATGTATGTATTTTAATGTATTCATTACTGTGCTGTAGCAGAACTTTTGTACTGAGTTATTTAAAGCATTGCTTGAAGAAGCTTTTCTGATGCATTTTAGAAACTTGAATACAACATATCCAGTCTCCCTGTCCAAGTGCTTATTTATGAGTTAAAAAACCCACCTAACTATATATATGTAAAATCTTACTTCACTTTGCAAGAACCTTGTTTTCTTTCTCCATTAAATTTTATGTACCTACATTTGTTTCTCACTGTAGTTTCTTCCACTTTGCCTGGTAGAGAAGACATACCAGCTGATCTTTGGCTTGTGCCCAGAGTTAATTTAAAAAGTAGGGTCACATTTATGATCTTAATATAATACTGTGCACCAGACTGTGAAGAAAACTTCAACAGTATTTATTCAGTGCAAACAACTAAGTTGATAATACCATTAGAGGCATGGGGGCGAGGGGAATGGTTTGTTTGGGGTGAGTTATTTGTGGGCTTTTTTGGCAGGCAGACAGGACTGGCAGATAAAATAGTAACTAAATGCAGATTTCGCTTGAATGCCTTCTGCAGTGCTGAGGGGTGTGTGCTCTGTCTGTCAAACGAAATAAGCTTATTTCCTTATGTTATACTAAGATTACAGAAAGCATGCCTATTAAAAAAATATCCAATCTAGTATCTACAATTAGGTAATTCTGTTTTTCAATACTGTGTAATGTGTAAAGTCTTAATACAAACACATTCAGAAGATCAGTCATATTTTGTGGAGGAAAATTTCTGTTGAATGATATCACAGAAACCCACCATGTCTTCCTCTCCTTAAGATCAAAAGCGTGTAAAGCCTGCAGAATCATTTCTTTAAAATTCTTTCTCTTTTTTTTTTTTTTTTTCATTTGGTGAGAAAATAAATCCTTTTAGTATAGTTAAGAGCACAACAATTTTGAAGCTTAGAACTTTAGTAGCATATATTTCCGAGAGAGCTTAACACAAGTAAATTGGGATGAAAGCTTTTTTTCCTCTTTTCTGTTATTTAGCTGATATCTATTCCCAGATTTATTTTAGTACAACTTGGATAGTTGTTTCTACTTAAACTAGTTTGAATTTCAAATGTTTTACTGAAGAAAATAATTTCAACATCGCCACAAAAAATTGTTTGAAATGATAATAGGGAACAGAACCTGTAAAAGTTTTCACCCAATCAGGAATCAGTTCTGGATGGGTGGTTTGAGCTGAGCCAAGGCCAGGTTGGATGGGGCTTTGAGCAACCTGAAAGGTATCCCTGCCTATGGCAGGGGGGTTGGAACAAAAGGGTCTTTAAGGTCCACCATTCCATGGAAGTGCAACTGAAATGCTCAAGGAGAGACCTTAAAACGTGTTTGGGTATTGCTCAGTCTGGAGCGCCCCCTGGCGATGATATAAAATAAATCCCAACTACTGCTTCCCTGGAAGATAAAAGCCATGCAAAAATTAAGCCATTTTCCATAACTAGAAGTAAGGGCTAAAATATACATATTTTATAAATTTTAGACTTCAGTATAGGCTTTATGTGCTTCCATTTATTTATTTTTTTTTCTCACTGTTCAGTTGGAATGATCTCTGTTCATATTTGTAATTTGGTGCAATAATTGCTGCTAGAATTATCTCTGCTTTAATTAGACTAGCTTCCATTTTCTACTACTTAATTTCTCTCGTGTCTAGTTTAATTTTGTTTCAGTAGAACTGTTGGGGGAAAGCTACATGTTAATCATCCTTTCTTGTCTTTAAACACGTACATGTCAGTATTTTTATGTTGTTTCATTACTACACCACCTTTTTGTAGAGGGTTTTGTGTTCATTTCTGAAGATGAACCACGTTTGGATAGTGTGTGGGTTGAGAAATATGGGAAAAATAATCAAAGAAAACAGCTTGTGGACATACCTGCACTATCTCTGAGCATTTCACAGGAAGACAGCAGAGAATAAACGTTTTGAAGTTTACATATTTATATACTTTTTGCAGGTATATGATGATGGAAAATATGTATATGTAGTAACAGAACTGATGAAGGGAGGAGAACTGCTGGATAAAATTCTTAGGCAGAAATTTTTCTCCGAACGGGAAGCCAGCGCTGTTCTGTTCACAATAACAAAAACGGTGGAATATCTCCATGCACAAGGGGTAAGTTTTCATCTCGGACAAAATGTTTATAGTTGTTAATATTCTTCTCTTTCAGAAGCATAAATTCATATCTTGGTACATTCTTCTGTGTGGTAATTAAGTAATTCTTTGTAAACAATTAAATTGCAGCAGGAATTTGTGTTGAAATCAAAACGTTCTTTATCACCTGTTTATGTGTTCAGATGACTGAGATGATGCAACTGTTTCTGTTGTTCTTCATGCAGTCTGTCAGCAGTTCTGTGGAATATGCAGATAGTGGCTAACAGAGAGGATACGAGAGGAAGAAAGTACAGGAAGAAGTGCTAGGACCAGTGCTTTTGCTTACCCATAGGACCTAATATAATTCCAATCTCATCCTGTGATAGACCCTGAAAATTTATTTTCCACCCATTGCACTTGTAATTTCTTTGACTTCTTGGTTTTGAAGAACGCTGTTTATAACTTGTAACTCCTGTGCCATAGGGTCAGAAGTTGTAAGAGACTCTTAGGAGACAGAAAATAGACACTTTGGAAATTACTCTGGAAACAGAGGTAGTTCAAATATAGAGAAGGACGGTGTGACAATTGCATGGCAAGAATGACAAGCTGTGTTGCATTTTTAAGTAAAGAAGAAAAAGGGAATAGAGAAAAGGCAGGAAGTACAGGTGCAAGGAAAAGTCAAGTTGCTCATACGTGATGTTAGTATCCAAGGAAAGATGCTTTGGAACACATAGTACTCAAATTATTTTAAGTAACAAATAACAATTCAGCCCACACTGTCATTTCTGGAAGCTGTTATTCCAGAAAATTTATGGTCAAAGTTATCTGGTATTTTATTCTGTGATTCATCACTTTCTCAATCACTTGCTCATGTGTGTGGTTTTGAGTCTGTGTGCACAGGATGAGCATCCTTGGCCAGCAGCACCCCTGGGAATTATGAACAAACCTTGATACCTTCTATATGGAAATAGAGATAACAGAATAACAAATCATAACTTGGTTCGTTCTTGCCAAATGTGGCCAAAAGAGGCCCAGTGTCCTTGCATCAAGTAAGAGATTTTAGGAGCCCTTGTTTCTTTACCATAGACCTCTGTAAATATTGGCATTTTAACTTATATTAGGCCACCTTTGGAACTTTGGCTTTTGGAAATTTTCAGGTCTTATGTTAAGTACATCTCCACATGAAAGATGGCCATATTATGTAAACAGTGAGCACTTCAGTAGTCTAATTGTTGTCTGGAAGAGTCCTTCCTGTTTTCAGTGGATTTTCCTGTTGTAACTCCTTTGGACTCTGGAGGAGCTCATTTGAATATGGCATTATGTAATATCTGGTTTGACAGACTCTGAATCTGTTCGCAGTCTCCATAATCCTTCCCAGGAGTTTCCTCATGGACATTCATAGGATACTTTTGAACTGAAAAATTAGCTAAGTAAGGAATGAAATCCATCTCTCACTCAAAGCATTCTAAAAGCATACAACAATTAAAGATTGGCACAATAGACATCACTACAACGATAAACAAGATAATATCAATATAACCTACACAATCTGACATATTTTTTAAAAAATTATATTTCTAAATATTTTCAAAATTTAACTTTGATAAAACAGCTTAATACAGGGACATATTTATTATTTGATGTAAACATTTTGATTGCTTGAGAATTAGCATTTGAATTTGAACTAGACTGTTACACTTATTCTTCCCCCTACTTGAGAATTGCTTCTTCCAAAAAAAGCATAAAACTCAAGCAGACTGATTCTAGAAACTGCCAGATCCCCAGATCTGTGCTGCTTCTATTGCCCACCTTTTCCTTTCTACTCCTTTTAGAATCTATTTTAAAAAAACGTGAAGGATCAATGAGAGTAAAACTGTGATTTTTTTTTTTTTCTTCTGCCTCTTGGAGCAGTAGAGGATGTTTCACTTAGAGAAGAAGGTTTCTCATCTATTTGAACACCAAAAAACAAGGGCTATCAGGACCTGGTTCTCTCATACACTGATATCTAAAGCCAGGATGTTCCCCTTGACATCTACTGTTTCAAGTCAAATTCTTTAGTATCATTTGTATATTTCAGCTTACAAGGTGCTTATTTCCATAATTTTGAGCATTTGTTTTGTTAAATCTGAGAACTGCAAAGTATTTGCAGGCTGAAAAAGTCTCTACTAACTAGACTGTGTGTAACATGGCTTTGCAATGTGCAAGACCCTCTGCACTCTTTTACTTGTTAGCCTTATATTATTTACTTTCCTGAATCTCTGCTCACCTTGGAGGAGTGTGTAGAACTTGTGCTTTCTGCACATCCCTTATTTGCAGGAGTTTGGGAGTATCTTCTTGTTCCAGTGTGATTACCTTCTTTAAATGTTTCACCACAGTCTCTTCTGTTCAGATTTAACCATGAAAAGTTGTGTTTGTTATTAATAAAACACACAGGACAATCAGGAAGATAAAGGCCTTCATGTTCCGTTAAATATTTAAAGGAGGACATTTAGATTCCCCCCTATTGTTTTAGAGCTGTGTATACCCTTTCCTTTAGAGAGAGCAGACTCTGGAGGCTTTAGGCTATTTTGTCTTGTGAAAAAAATGTAACAGGTCATTACAGATGCCCGTGACTCCAAAAGACATTACTAGGCAAAGGTTCTGATTTAAAGAGCCTTGTAGATGTGCATGTTTAAAAGGAATTTTGTGATTCAACCATTAGAACAAGACATCTGGAACCGTCTGTACAAATAAATTAGGGAGGGGTGGGATGTCTGGAGGGAGTTCTGTAGTTAAGGGTTTCCAAGTTAGAACTGTAGTATTCCAGACACCACAAAGCATCAGAACCCTGCAGCTGATGGCACAAGCTGGAACTCTGGAAACCGAGGGGAGATTTGAAATTGAGTAGCAGAATTGCTAATTCTAACAGAAAGCTTTTCGTGTGTTTAACTTATCTTATTTAGCAGTTCGTTTTAATTTTTTCAGGTTGTTCACAGAGACCTGAAGCCTAGCAATATTCTTTATGTTGATGAATCTGGTAATCCAGAATCAATTCGAATATGTGATTTTGGCTTTGCAAAACAACTGCGAGCAGAAAATGGTCTTCTGATGACTCCGTGTTACACAGCAAATTTTGTTGCACCAGAGGTAAATAGCAGAATAGCTTATGTGCCTTGATTTATCTTAATGGAATTTTTTTACTAGTCAGATATTTTTTTCGTTCTTGCATAACAAGTAGAATCACTTTGCAAACACTAAAAATTTGAAATCTTACTATTTTTATGGCATAATCAAAGCATTTCTGAGCAGGTTTTTCAGAAAAAAAAATTTGTCTCCCTCAGGTTTTAAAGAGGCAAGGTTATGATGCTGCATGTGACATATGGAGCCTTGGTGTTCTGCTTTACACCATGCTTACTGGGTAAGGGTAATTTGATTTTGCTTCCCTATAGAATAGCCAACCAGTATAAAAAGAAGAAGAATAAATGTGGGTCCACTGTTACATATACTTCTATCAAAGCACTGATTAATCTCAACTTCGGGGTTGAGAATATGCTTTGCCTTTAGCGGAATCCAGATTTGCAGGGACTGATGTGAAAAATTCTTTGCTTCTTAACGTTTCATCCATTTTAGGTGTTTAATTTCTGCTTAAAGGTGATTTAGGACCAAGAATTTGTTTCATGTGAAAATTAGAAGATCAGGCAGTATAAATGTTGAAGAAAATATATGTTACAAATAAACTTGCAATGCATTAAAGCCTGATTGTGTACAAAATTCAGCCACTGAATAGTTTGAAGTGATGCAGTTAGGATACGTGTGATAGAAAAACATTTTATATGCAATAGAAATGAATTGTAATATGATGAAAAACAAATTCAAATATAGTACCACAAGTTCAAAAGATGTTTGGCAGATGCAATAGCAACTAGATTTATCTTTTCATGCTGGGTTATTAAGGTTGCCACTTTGGTGGAAAAATCTGCTTTTCAGACCGAACAGGGAGGGAATACATGCAGTCAGAACAGATCTGTAGTCTGGGCCATGTGTTTTAATGTGTTAAGAGTAATTTATTTTACAACTGTTTGACTGTCTGTTGCATATAATTATGCTGAACTCTTTGAATCTTACAATCAGATTTATAATACCTATTGAGATCTACGTTATGGGAGTTTATTAACATAGAAATTGTTTGGTTAAATAGCTACACGCCTTTTGCAAATGGTCCTGATGACACCCCAGAGGAGATTTTGGCCCGAATAGGTAGTGGAAAGTTCTCTCTCAGTGGTGGTTATTGGAATACTGTTTCAGACACAGCTAAGGCAAGTATATTTCCTTTGTCCTTTGGGGGATCAGAAATGGATTGCAATGTAAAATGGTGCTCATAATGTATATTTTATATCATATATGATTGGGTTTCGCCCCTTGTTATGTTAAAATACTGATCTCATCCCTTATGTGGCTGGAATTTTGTCTCCTGTTTTTGATCTTTTCATGTTTCAACAGTCACTTGCATGTAGGAGGAAAAACAGGTGTGCCTTACGCTGCAGCAGTGCACAGCTGACCTCAGAAATATTTTATCAGTATTTTATCAGTATTCACACCCATGCACAGTTATCCCTGGTGAAAAATGCACTACTAAAGCTTCACGTAGAAGCATGACATTAAAAAATCGTACAGACAGTCTAAATCATGATAATGAAAACCACTGAAGTATTACACTTTTTACTGCATTTGCACAAAGTAAAAATATTGGACAACTTTTTTGAGAAGTACATCAAGTACACCAAATAGACTCTAAACTTCAGTGTGCAGTATCTTTTACACCCCTTCTATGTAGATGCTTAAAGTGCTAAAGTTTTCCTTATTTAGTTGGATACCTTCATTTTGTGTTACCAAGTTTCCATTAAGTCACATAATTAAAAGACATACTGTTAGCATTGCAGGGTGATTTTTCATTTGTTTTAAACTGACATTATGAGCATATTTTTATACCTCTGAAATCTTCAGTTTGGAACTCTAATCTGTTTTAAAGCTGAAGATTTACTGTTATTATTTGCATTGACTCTTTGTATATTATTGACAGGACCTTGTTTCAAAAATGCTTCATGTTGACCCCCGTCAAAGATTGACTGCAGCCCAAGTTCTAAGTCACCCCTGGATAGTTCACTGTGACCAGTTGCCTCAATACCAGCTGAACAGGCAGGATGCTCCCCATTTAGTGAAGGTAAGTAGATATTTTCAGATTGTTGTATAGCCAAAAATAGTGTAAACAAAAGGGGGTTGTTTTGATTTTAAAGTTAAGGTAGCATGTGTTTCCTCTAAATACTATTTAGAAATTGTTATGACTAAGCCCTAAAATGAACTTGTAATATGTAATAGGATTTAATGAGAAACCACTTACAGGGGGTAAATCTAAAATATTTTTAAAATACTTTAATTTTCTTGTGTTTGAAATCTATTGGACTGACTTAGACTGGAAGGTTTAACTGTTAGGAAACCAGCATAAAGAAATCATTCTTCTGATGGTGAAAAATGTTGTCAGGTGACTCTAGGGGAGCTGAAAAAAAGCTTAGCTAATTTTACAGTTTCAGAGGAGGGTTAATTGTCAGTAACTAAAATAATATACTTTGTGTTCACAGTAAAAGCTGTGAAGAAGTCAAAAGGGCATTGTTAATTACAGTGGTATCATACTGTTCTGCAATCTGTCTGAAACGAGATCTGGGTTTGACTCTGAAATTTTTTCAGTTTGAACAAGCAGAGGAAAATCAAAAATAACTGAATTCCATTTCTCTGCATTCCACCCTGTTTGCAGTCCTACATTCAAGAATCTCTTGTGCAACATAAAAGGGATCCGAAGAAGATAATTAACACTGTCTCTGAGTTAGCTATTAGAAATGTCTAGCATCCAAAACCACAAGTGGAACGTGGGGGACGTTCTGATCCCATGGCTCGCAACTTTCAAACCTTTTTTTTTAAATAAATCTTCGTGTTCTGGATAATGTTGGTGATTTTATATATTTTGTTGGGAACTGAAATGGTTATATAAGTGATAAGCAGAGACACCCTACTTATGTGATTTCATTTCCCAACTATCTCACATAGCAGAAAAAAGATAACTTAATTTAGCAATCTAGCTTATACCTTCTGGTTTTGACTATTTAAGCAATGTAAACCCATTCATTAACCTAAAAAACACTCACTCCTAACACTGCTGGTACGGGAGTAAAGCAGCAGTATGTTTCTGTTTTGTAGATGAAAATAGACTGGAACATAAAACTTGTTCAGAGTCTCTGGCATTTAGCACTGTGTGTCTATGGTGTGTGCATCAGTCAGAAAATACTCTTACTGCTTTTTCCTCTCTACCCAACAGGGTGCAATGGCAGCAACTTACTCTGCTTTGAATCGTAATCAATCACCAGTTTTGGAGCCAGTTGGCCGTTCTACTCTTGCTCAGAGGAGAGGTATAAAAAAAATTACCTCAACAGCCCTGTGAAATGACCTCAGCCAGACACTTGGTACCATGGCATAAGATGATAGCACAAATCATGGCGACAGGTAGCACATATCTGACAGATACCTGCAAGCACACTCTGACCCAGCTGGTACCTATAATGCTGCTGCTCCTGCTGCTGCTACTGCTTTCATCTACTCTCGCTTTAAACTGTTGATGGCAAGTTACTGATCTCACTGGAGCCGCAAACGGAGTGACAAGTGGAAACAATGAAAATGATCATGTTCGCGACTGAATAAACCAGAAGAATTACAAATGCCACCTGTGTCAAAAATACACTGAATAAAAGCACTCTGCACCACATAGCATTATTTTTATAAGGAATATTTTTTTTGTCCCCTAAAATATTCTTTGTTACAGGTAGAAATGGACAGTTTATGTTAAGCACTTAGCTTAAACAATCTGTTTATATTAGCACTATATACTTTGTGCCATCCAACATTTTGTATGTTTTTGTAAACAATTCACAAGCAGTACATTTCTGTGCTGTTTTCTTTAATGTATACATGCCTTGTTTTACTTAGATATTATTAATCATTTTGACAATTAAGTCTGATTAAACAGTTCACCTGGATTAATCAGTATTGTTGGACAGCTCTAAAAGAAGCCTGACTGTTAAACAGCTATTGAATGTAATACTCTATGAATAAGTAGTTCTCCTCACCTATGTCTTTTCTGCATTTTTGTGTTTTTGACACCATGTCATGTTATGAAAATCAGGATACTGTTTATAGTACTCAAAATTCAAACAGTGGATCTCTCACCATACTATATATCCAATAGGTAATATAACCCAGAGAAAAGATAACTTGCTCTGTCTTTTGTTCCCCTTCCTTTTAGTCTCTCCCGTCTAATCTCTGGACTCAGGAATGATTGCTAAATACTTTCTGATAGAGGACATTTCTATATTGTTGATTCTTGCAATCCATTGTTAATATTTTATCTCTAGTCTATGACTTTTGTTTAAGCTGCAAAGGATTTGTTCATTGATTGAATGTTGGCATTATAGAAGAAAGGCAACATTGAAGATAAAGCAAAATGTTGTCCGCTAATAAGGAGAAGCCTGTAAAAGTTTTAAACTACATTCACTGCAAGTGCAAAACTGATGGATCTAATGTTCTGTCAGTTATTTTCTGCTAATTTTACTTGACATTAAAAGCAAAATGAGAGACGAGTCGTCCAGATCTGTTGGGTTAGAAAAGGGCCATTCTAATTTAGCATGAATATAGTATTGTCCCAGTCAGGTAAGATAAAGCTGTTCAGAGTGAACATTCTCACTTTTCTGCAGATGGAAGCAAGTTTGTAATGAGGATGAAAGACTCTAAATACCAATATAAACTTTTAATACCCTTGGCCTCTTGGTGTCTAAAGTAATTAAAGGTGCATCTCCATGGCTGGTCTTGAAAGATCAAATTGCCCACATGAGAGAGCACTGGAATGTGTTTGAATTCAGTGTGTTCCACTCCACCAAAATTACATGCTGCATTAACTCCTTTCAGATATGAAAACAGCTTTTGGGAATTCAGCTTTAGTAAAATATGGATCTGGGGGAATGGCTTACATGAACAATTCAATTTAAAAACTAAAAGGTGCAAATTTTGTTTTGTATAAGAAGGTATTTTCTTGGTTTAGTTGTATTAAATTTCTTTTATGATGATTAATTGGCTTGTTTCCCTGAAATCATCAGAGATTTGTTGAAAGGGAGAATCATCTGTAACACCACAGATTTGCTCTAAGTGAATGGGAGTGCTTCTTCTGCCAGAATTTCTGAGCTCCTAAGGAAACCTTCCTTTGTTAAAATTGAAAGTAATCCCATTATTGTCCTTCTAGCATTGAAACTTGCTTTGTACAGATGCATCTGCCCTTTCTTCAAAAGACATCTCTAACTAGAGGCAGAAAAAGACCATTGACAATTTTTTTGACAGTGTCAGCAGTTCTAGAGGAATTTAGTAAAACCTTACCTTTCAGAAAATGTATTTTCAGCTCTGTGAGCAATTTTAAGTCAGGCTTCTCAAAGCCTGGAAACTGTACCTTCTAGTGGCTTTTAAAGGTGTTAATCAGAAGATTGACATATCTAGTCAACAAACAGGATTTAAAACTGATACTGTTGAAATAAAGGGATGTCAATACTTGCCAATGTGTCAATAAGAACAGTTCAGGAGGGAGTTTCTCCTCTGTTCATTGTGTATCTGTAGGTACCTGGCAAAGAACAGACCAAAAAGAGGAAACGTAAAGCTGCCTCAATATTGGCAATATCCACTTTAAAATAATTTAAAAGTACTTCCAGTAGTTTTATTGTAGCCGTATTTTGTTGTCCTCAAGCTCACTGACGATTAGCCAAATAGTGAAGCAAAGTTAACTCCTACATTTTATGTATCTACATTCTCAAGTGAGTCGTTAATTTAGTCTAGACTTGGCAGATGTTGCTATTATGTCATGTATAGAGCAGCAGAGGATGAACCTTTTAAATTGTAGCAAAACAACTGGGGTTAGCACACCCTAATTTGACTGCATTCAAGTCTAGGTATTTTTAAGTTACTTTCTAAACCAAGGTGTACAGGGTCTGCCTATTTTACAGGCTAGACATGGTTTTATGTACCTTACCTCCTGGTTCCATGTTCACAACTTTCACATTGATTTTTTTGTTTTTTGAGCTGCAGTTGTTAGAACCTATAGCGAAATCCAGATAATAGTTCTTGGAGTCCCAACACCTTTTTATCAGAATGTGAGTGTATGATACACTGTGTACATTCACTGCTGGACTGCCGCTTGGTCTGCAAGGTGTAGCAAGTGACTTAAGGGTACAGAGACATAAAGGATAAAAAAAGGAGAACTGCAGATACAGGTGAATTTTCTGTATGTCAGCCATGGGTTTTTTTAATTTCTTTTTAAGTGTGAAATTATAATTTACTGTGCTTGAGACCACGAGGGAATGGAGGGAAGAGAATAGTTGCAATACTCATTAAATGCCATCTATATCCAGTAAGGGCAACGCTCTGTATTCATAATCACTATAACACTGAATGAAACTTATAGGGAGGTTTTAAGAAAGTATTTAAAACTTTTTTCTAAAAAGACAAGGCCATAAGAAAATAGATTTATGTGTCTGGGATTTTTCTGTGTGTGTGTGTTTTGCTTTTGTAAATGTGGTGTACCAACTAAAGCTGTGCTTTTCTATTATTGGAAGGAAAGGATTTAAAGTGTCCTGGCCCTTAGTAAGCAGCAATGGTTAATAGATGAATTTTCACTTATGAAAATTATGTAAATGATTAGCTTTATCTGATACTCTTGACCTAATCAAAGGGAAGGTGTACTTATGAGGGATGTAATTATTTTGCAACCTAGTTGGGGGGAAGTCTACTTCAACCGTTTTTAAAAAATTACAAAATCACAGATAAAATATTTTTCTATGATTCTATACAATCATCCTTTATACTAGTTTTCTCAGCATGGCATGTAAGTGAGTCTAAGGTACTGTTCCAGGAAATCAGTGGTATTGTACCTTATTCTAGACCATTAAAATAGCATCTGTTAGATGCTTGGCACTGCTGTCATAGACCTGAAATGCTAGTTTTAAAAAATAAAAAAAAATTTACTGAATACTTTAAATGATTGTTTTATTCAGAGTCTGATATAGAAAATGCTCCAATCATGTTATTAATGTGTAATTAAAACTGTTCCAGATGTAACTAGAGACAGTTCTGGAAAGTTATCATTGCTTGTTCTCCTGTCTAATGGCAGGTTTTGTAGTCTTCAAAAGAAATTGAAATTTCTACTATGAATAAACTTTCAAACATCTTAAAATGCTGGTTTGTTTAATCATTAATTTAATATAATGTTGCAGTGTTACGTCATGTTGGGTCAGCTACAGAGGGAGCCAAAGGAAAAATACACATATTCAGCAGATGCTTATAGATCTGATATATGATACAACAAGACCAAAGTGCAAGAATATTGTATTTTAATACTCTGTAAAGATCCCAGTCCACTCTAAAGTAGCACTTAAAGGGAGGCTGCTAAATAATACCTGCAATGTCTGCATTGCTCTGGACGTTGAAAATATAGGCATCTTTGATAGTTAACGAGCCTTTTAAATATTTGAAAAATGAAAATATATGCAGAAGCACTCCGTAACTTGGAAGGTTACAGCCATAATTCATTTTAGCCTTGCAACCCGGAGAACGTGGAAGATTTCCAGAAGTTTGCGTAGTTTACATAAAATTACAGTAATTTTGACAGAGTTTATGAGGAATGTAACCAGAGGCCTTCCTCAGTGAGTACCAAAAGAAAGGTATCAGAGGATATGAAGAGGGGTTTGGTGACTGGTGAGGAGAGATGAAATTCACACATGGGATCCGAGGTGTGCATCGCTGCTACCCTTTGCTCACACAAGGCTTTGCCCCACCTGTCCAAAAGCACCTTAAAATTAATTTACAAATAAACTGGATGATCTGTCAGCTTCAGGAAATTCTGCAAAGGAAGAAAGGGGGGCCGATATAACACAGATCCTGTTGTTATTATCTCCCCTTACTTTAGCCTTCCTTAACTTCATACCCACTCACTTTCAGAATGGTTTGGGTTGGAAGGGACCTTAAAGATCATCCAATTCCAACCTCCCTGCCGTGGGGAGAGACACTTTCCTCTAGACCAGGTTGCTCAGAGCCCCGTCCAACCTGGCCTTGGACACCTCCAGGGATGGGGCATCCACAGCTTCCCTGGGCAACCTGTTCCAGTGTCTCGTCATCCTCACAGCAAAGAATTTTTTCCTACTATCTAAGCTAAACCTACTCTTTTTCAATTTTAACCCATTGCCCCTTCTCCCATCGCTACATTCCCCCGTAAACAGTCTTGCCCCTCTCTCCTGTGCGTCCCCCTGGGAAGCGAGGGGAGTTATCACGGGCAGCGCTCCGGCCCGGCGGTGCGCGGTGTCCCCGGGCTGGCTGGGTGCGCGCTGCCCGTTCCTCCTCCTTTCCCCTGGGCTCCAGCCCCGGCCGCCCCGCCGTTCCCGGCCCGGCCCGGCCGTGTCCGCTCTCGGGGCCGGGGCGGGCAGTGCCGGGCGGTGCCGGGACCCCTCCGTGCCGCGGGGGGCGCTGTGGGCCCGGGGGCGCCGCGGCCGGAGCGCAGCGCACGAGCCCGCGCAGCGCCGGAGCCGCCACCGCCGGACCCGCCCGGAGCCGCCGCCGAGCCCGAACAGCCGCCCCCGCCGCTCCCCGCCCGCAGCCCCCGCCCGCAGCCCCTCCGCGGCGGAGCGCCCGGCGCCATGCCCAAGAATAAAGGTGAGGCGCCTGTCCGGCTGTGGGGCCCGCAGCGGCGAGGCCCGGCCCGGGCGCGACCGCGCAGGGCAGGCCAGGCCCGGGGGAGCCTCTCACGTGGGCGCCGCCGGGGCCCGGAGCCTTCGGGTAGGGCCGGACGGGCCCTCCCGCCCCCAAGGAGGGTCCCCGGGCCGGTTCCCCCTGCCGGAGGCCGCCGGGACCCGGCCCGGAGCGGGAGGCCCTGCCCGGGGCTCGGTTGTCAAAGGCGGCCCTGCCCAGGAGGCGGCCGGGCCCTCGCTGGGCAGCGCCGGCGCCGCTGCTGCTGCTGCTGCTGCCCCCCTTCTTCCCCACTCGGAAAGGAAAAGCAGAAACCGCGAGGGGAAGGGAACGGCAGGTTTTTAGCAGGGGGGCTGAAGTATGAGCTGATTTGGTACGTCTTCGTGAAGAGCATCTAATGCTGTCGCCACGTGTGTGCCTTTTAAAAAAGGTAGCTGTACCTGGAGCATTAGCTTCCCCTTGAGTGTTTCAGGGATTTTAGCACCGCGGTAACTCGGGTTATTCGTCTGCTCTTTGATGGTTACGTGCGTCAGGTTATCCCACCATTATTTAGGAGGTATGTGGTGGCAGGGATCACAGAAGCTGGAAATGGCCATCTTGTGGAAATCCTTGTTGAAGGCTGCTGTCACTCCGGAGCAACCAGGACATCTTGTACAGTGGAGACTCTGTGTAACTACTCAGCTAAAAATTTAGACCTACAAATGTTAACAGTAAGCAAAAAAAAAAATAATCTAGATTTGGACAGGACACTTTAAACAGCCATCTAGAGAACGAGCACAGAAAAATCTCCATAAGTCTGATTATTTCATTCACTGTATTCAGACAGTAACACGTGCTTTTTCCTCCTCCCCCTTTTAATTTAGGCAAAGGAGGTAAAAACAGGCGACGAGGTAAGAATGAGAATGAATCAGAAAAAAGAGAACTGGTGTTCAAAGAAGATGGGCAAGGTGAGTTTTTAACTATAGTATGGCAGTGTCATTGTTTTCAGTCACGTACTGTAAGTGACAGGCATTGGAAGTTGATACACAAAACATCTGGATGACTGAGAAAAGTGAAGTTACTGTTATTGAATAAAGAGAGGTCATCTTATTGGGGTTGTATTTGAGTTCTAAATGACATAGAAGAAAGTAGGAAAAGGGAAATTTTAAATAGCTCCACTACTTAAGAATGAAGCTTGCCTCTCCTTGACCTCACTGCGATGCTCTGTGTAAAACAGCACATAAGCATTTCCTAGAAGCCCCTTGAGTAGCTTTGGGCAAGGGGCTGTAAGCAGCTGGCTTAGCAGATGTGGCCAGTAATTGTCTCTGGGATGCACAGTCCCACTTTCTGTTTTATACTGACTGTGATGTCTCTCGAATCCTTCAGTGAGCTCCCAAAGTCTGACCTGTCAGAACCAGTCAACTCACTGTTCTGTCCTCTCATGGTTTGGCTCCTGGGCTGAGAAGTCTCACAACTATTAAAACAGGAGCAATAGGTCCTTGCTGGGCTGTTGTCGGGTGAAGGTGGCTCCAGGAGTGGAGAGTGATGATTACATTCCCCTCTGCCCTGCCTTTTGGTTACCGTGAGCTCACCTCCCTTTTGACTCGCCCTGTCTTGCGTGTCACACTCCTGTGTTTGCTCACATAATTTGAGTATTTTCCTAGTGACCAATTAATCAGTTGGTTTGTCAGAAACACGGTCCTGACTGAAATCGCTTTAAAAGAAACGACACTGAACCAATTTCTGATATTCTGTGATGGCTGTAAGCAAAAAAGGAGTTGATTTTGATGGACCTACATAACTTAAAATCCTTTTCAACTCCCAAGCAAAATCTACTCAGTGAATTATTCTGTTATGAATAGTCTCGTGTTTGTTGGACTATCTTACTTGTGCTAAGGGAAAGATTTTAGAATGTTGAGATACAGCTCTGGCTAATTGAGAGAATTTTTCCCCTGGCAAGTATAGGTGATCAGTTCATGCTAACTCTGTAACTTAAAAACATCATCGTCATCATATAATAATAATATTACAAGCTTTATTCCTTTTAGTTAAATGATAATGCATTATGCTACAAACTTCAATAATGTGTGTGAAGTTCTCCAGTAGTTATTTCTGGAACTTGGTGAGGGAGGAGATGAAATACACCCTGAAAAACTGAGGGTAGGTGTTGGAGAGATGCTTCATAGATTTCAGCTGAAGTCTGGTAGTTGACAGCAGTGAGATTTTGTCAGGACAGGTGCTGTGATGCCATCATAAACTTTCAAACTCCAAGTGTGACTCAATAGCTCTGAAAATTATCTGTAAGTGTTTCAGAAGGAACAAAAGCATGGATGCAAACAGTATTAGCAGTCTTTGAAAATACTGACATTAACAAAATGACATTAATGACATTAACAAAAACTGTGATACATTCAACAGCCTGTGTGGCTGCTCAAAGCTCCTCTCAGCTGTTCATGTTCATTTTGACTAAAATTTTGGTTACAATGTCAAAAGCTATTGGATGCATCATGAAGCTGGATTTGTTTAGAAGTTTTGCTCTGTGGCGCTTTGGCATGTGGTAGACTCAGCAGTGCTGGGTTCAGGCTTGGACTGGCTGATCTTACAAGTCTTTTCTGACCAAAATGATTGTACGTTACCGTCTCTTTCAGAATATGCCCAGGTGATCAAGATGTTAGGCAATGGAAGACTGGAGGCATTATGTTTTGATGGTGTGAAGAGGTTATGTCATATTAGAGGGAAGCTAAGAAAAAAGGTAATTCTGAAGCATTGCAATAGGGAACAGTGACTTTATACATGCTGTATAATTGTAAAAATTTACATACTTAGCTTGTTACAAAAATTAATATTTCTACTGCACTTAATACCTTAAATATATTTTTTTGGTAGTAAACTAGTTTATCTTTCTGTTTCTCTTGCCAGCACAAGAGTAGGCAGTGTTTGGCTTTTGGGTGAAGCTCACAGTTGAAGGGCTGCCTTTGGATGTGTGTATTTCAGGGGAGGGGGGTTTGGCTGCTTATCAAATACTAGCTTTCATATTCTAAAAATTTATAAGTATATAAAATAATAAAAAGCTCCCTAATTGTAGATGTGCTCTTCACTGTGCTTGTCCATCACCCCCTTCATCAGGTTTTGCTCTGAGTTTTACCCTTGTGGAGCTCAGTTCACAGAGTGGTGGCTTGATTGCATTATTTCTGTTTTCTCAGAAGTTAAGGCTTAGTAACCACCCTGTTGGCCAGAAGCTCTTCAAAGAAGTTGGATGTACCTTGTAATAGTTCCATAACATGTAAAATAAATGTAACTATGAGTACTTTATGACCTCAGTTTTGCTGTTAAAATAAGAAATTGGATATTTCCAGCTTACTGGTTAGAAAGTGAGGGGGGTGGCTGTAAGTGATGTTTCATGTCTCTCAGCAAACATAAATGTACTGCTTGCTTCTTGTGTTGCACAAGAGAAGTTGAATTGCTGTAACATGATGTATTTTTTCTCGTTCAGGTTTGGATAAATACATCTGATAT